CCCGGCAGGGCGCGGTGCGGGGGCGGGCACCCGGAGCCCGCCGCGGCCGCTTCTACGCCGGCGAATCACCATCAAGCTGCTATACGGCCCCGGCATCGCCTCCCCGGGCTTAGCTCTCAGTCAAGATATTGTGCACATGAGTGGCCTCTACAATATACTCACTGACACTGAACCTCCCAGAGCTCGTCCCGGTCCGTCACGGCCATCCTCGTCCTCCGGCGGGCCCCCGGCCGCGGCGCGGTGCGGCGGCGTCACAAATCCGACCACAGAGCACCGGGACGCGGTCGGGCGATCTGAGGCCCAAGTAGGCGAATGCATTGCCCATCCAAGGCTATCACCTGGACCTATCAACAGGCGCCTGCGGCGCCGTGCTCAGGAGTTGGTTTTCACTCGCTCGAAATGTGTGCCTGAAAGGGTTAAATTCTTTCTTTTGGCGGAGCTAAGTAGGTAGGTGCATTGCCGTTCTTAACGGAGTCGCTTAGGCGGCTCCGGTGGTGTGCCGGTGATAGTACTAGCACGCGCCAGTTCGCACCTGTGTCGAGCCTGTGTGCTGTGAGAGAGAGTTGTTTTGTTTAAATTCTTTCTTTTGGCCCGTATCATCTTCTTCCGCTAGCCACACAACCATGTCTTTCCAGCGCGGCCGCAAGGGCTGGCGGACCGGCAGCCCGGAGCGCCTCTCGATGTTCATCGAGGCGGACTCCATGGCGCAGCGCGGCTGGGCGCTTGGCGGGAGAGGAGCGCAGGCTGCTCCTGCTCCCGCGCCCGAGCCGCCGCACGCGGCGCCCTCCCTACCGGCGGCTGCGCTCGGCTTCGCGGTGCCTCCGTGGTGCGTTGTGCCGGCGCAGCCATGCGCTGCGCGGCTCCTGGTCACCAGCGGAGGCGTGGCGCGCATCGACCGGCAGGGCCGCCCAGAGACGCTGCAGATAGGCATGACGAGAGCCGTCGTCGCTGGCCGCTCTCCGGACGCCGATGTGGTGCTCGAGCACCCGTCGGCGTCGCGGCGGCATGCGGCTGTGCTGCACCACGCGTCCGGCGCGGTCTACCTCGTCGACCTCGGCTCTGCCCACGGCACGTTTCTCGCAGGCACACGGCTGCCGCCGCACGAGCCAACCGTGTGGGCGGACGGCACCGCGGCTCGCTTCGGCGCGGCGCAGACGCAGCACATCCTGCTCCAGCGGCGCGAGTCGTTGCCGCAGCCCGCCGCGCTTCGGCCGCCGCCGCAGCCACAACCTCCCTCCAAGGCGGCGTCGAGTGCGCCGGCACTTGCGCCGCCGCAGCCGGCGCCAGCACCGCCGCAGCCGGCGCCTGCGCCGCCGCAGCCGGCGCCTGCGCCGCCGCCGCGGCTGGGCTATGACGACGACGCGCCGCTGGGCGGGGCACCGCCGAACGGGACAGCGGCAGCCGCCGCACCGCAGAGACTCGTGAGTTACGACGACGACGACGACGACGACGACGACGACGTCTGCAGCGATGTCGATGGTGCTTCTGGCGGCGGCGACGACGCAGGAGGCGGGACTGGCAGCCTCAACAAGAGCACGCAAGTAGAGCGGGCCGTGCCGGCGCCGCCGCGACCGCCGCAGCCGCCGCAGCCGCCGCAGCCGCCGCCTCAGGCACCGCCGCCGCCGCCGCCGTTGCCATCGCGACCGCAGCCCCCGCCGCCGCCTCCGCCCGCGCTACTTGGGGAGGACGACCCGGCGTTGGCCGCCCTCGTCGACGCGAATACGCAGCGGAACAGGCATGTACCCGTGGTGCCAGAGGGCGGCGGTGCGGCCGGGCGAGGCCGGGGCCCGGCCAGGGTCTGGGAGGCCGCCCCACGCCGCGTGCGCTTCGACTCGGCGCCGCCCTCCGTGCGCTTCTTCGAGCCGCCCGCCGCCGAGCCGCTTCCGGACCCGGAGGCCCCGCCGGGCGCCGCCCTCGCCCCGGCAGATCATGGCTGGCGACCCGCCGCAGTCGTCGCGGCCGCCACAGCCACGCCCGCGCCTCGTCCGAGCACGGCTGGGCCGCTGTCGAGGCCTACGGAGGTCGTCGTGACGGTGCGGCGGAGTGCGGCGGCGGCGCCGCCGCAGGGAGTGGGCCAGTTCGGCGGCGTGGAGTCGACCGTCCTCCCGCACCCGCCTCCCTCTGCCGCCGCAGCACCGCACACCGCGCCACCGCCGCCGGCCTTGGCGCCCGCTGGCCCGCTCGCCGCGACAATCCAGGGACGCCTCGCCTCGCTGTACAAAGGGCCGGCCGAGCCGTCGAGCCCCCGCCTCTTTCCCAAGGAGCGCGAGGGCTCCTTCCTGCGAGGCGCCGGCCGCGCGAGCGCCGCCCCCGACGCCGTGCGACTCTCGCTCTCCAGCCATTGCGGACACACCGCGGCGGGCAGCGTGCTCTCCGACGGGGCAAGCCTCCGCATCGATGACTCGAGCGGCGCCGGCCTGCTCGCGCTCCACTTTGAGAGCGCCGCCCGCAACCCGCTGGCGGACGGCCGGACGCCGGTGCGGTACCGTGCGGACGCCGGTGCGGCGCACGCCCGGCGCGTCGGGGCCGCCGTGGCCGCGTGGCGGCGCGGCTCGTCGGCCGCCGGCGACTTTCTGCTCTCGGTCGTCAACTTGCATGGGCGGCCGGTGCTTGTGTACGCGTCGCTGCTGCTGCGATCGGCGGGGGGCGGCGAGGAGGAGGAGGTGGTGCTCAGCCCGTGGGCCGAGCCCCTCCCGCCCGACGAGCAGCCGGCGCCACTCTCCGTCGAGAGCGGAGGTGCGCCGCGCGGCGCCAACTGCTTGCTCCTCGAGGCATACGAGGGCACTGCGCGCTGCGAGGCCGACGAGGCCGAGACGGCACCCATGGGAGAGAGCAACACTTTCCGGCGCGCTGCGGCGAGCGGGGTGGCGGTGGCAATGCCGCCCGCCGCGCGCGGCCCGTGTCTGCGCCTCGAAGCGTCTTTCCAGGAGGGCGAGGAGGAGCCTGGAGCGCCATTCTGCGTCCTGAGGCTGCCTCTCTCGCTCGCTGGTTGACGCTGCTGCGTGTTCAGATTATTGTGGTAAGATCTCAGTACAGAGTACCGCGAAGCGCCCAAAAACTTACTACCCTTGTAACCCTATCCGGCCACGGCCCGGCCTCGGGCTTTGAGCGAGCGCGTGACCCTTCTTGCTGCGTTCCACCCCAGTATAGGCGCGCTCTCTGCAGCCCCGAGAAACCGACGTTCACGTTATATGTACTGACGTAACGTACTCTAGCTTGCATGAGATTGCCCGATGCGGTGGCACCGGTTGAGCGCCTGCACAGCTGTCAGCTCCTTGCCTCGGACGTAGAATGGCTCCACACACACACACGCACACACACACACACACACACACACACACACACACACACACACACACACACACACACACACACACACACACACATACACACACACACACCGCTCACCCACGCGCACTGGGCCTTGCACATTTAATGCCGTGGGGCTCCTGTCGTTAGACGTGGAGACGCGAGGGTCGCCCCCCCTTGCCCCACCACCTCGTGTGTGTGGAGAAGTTTACCTTACCTTACCTTACCTGGCTCCATCAAGACGACGTGCGCCGCACCTCGTCCTTACGCACATCCTTAAGGACGACCTCCTATCGACCGGCTGCTGACGACACCGTCGATTCGCGTGGGCGTCAGGCAGCGGCTGAGGTTGGCCTCTCCACCCGGTCGCCACGCCATAACCTGCTGGATCTGAGCGAGTAGCCCGGCCCAGACAAGGGTTCCATCCGCCCCGAATGTCGCTTGGCGCGCTAGGGTGAACGTGGGCACGGGCGTGCCTAGCTGGCGCAGCTTGCGGTCAAGCGCGCGCACGTTGCGGAGGTCGCTCCGGTCATGTCGTCTCAACAATACGAGGCCTAGTGTGGCTCGGAGGGTGGCGTGATATCACGGGGGAATTATGCGGCGCCAGAGGGGAGGAGTTGTGACGCACCGACGAGCGCGTTAGGCAGCACCGCGTTCTCGTCGCCTTCGTGGCCGGCGTGGTCAAGGTAGAGATTCACCTCATTGTTGATTACCTTTACATTGCTGCGCTTGAGCAGTGATTGCGCTCGCTCGACGCCCGCCTCCCGCAGTCGCTGCGTAAAGCTGTGCACGGCATCGATGAAAATGGCCGCCTGGGTTGCCCTCCATTTGCACTGTCGCGCCTGTAGGCGCGTCCCATTCCCAAACACGCGCAACCACTCGCCGGCGGATCTGACATGTTCGGCGTCACACCATTGGGGTGTGCGGCACATCTCGCAGCTGCCGGCCTCGACCTCCTCCGCACTACACTTGCGCCATTCCACCGGCATCGTCCACTGGACACCGCAGCCCGCCTGCAGTTGCCTGCACAACGCGCCGCCATCTCCCACCTCACACTTGCCCATGCACCTCGGGTTAGCCCCCGAAGGCAACGTAAGGGGCCCGCAGTTGCTGCACACGCGGCCTTCCGAGTTTGAGTCGATCACAGACATACACTGCACCGCGCTCCATACACGTTCCGCGTTGAAGAGCAGCGCGACGCCGCCCTTCGGGAACGCTAAAAACGGCAGCTTCTGGTGAAAGAGTGAGAATGCCGCACAGTTGTATCCGCAATCGTGCTCGAGCTGCAGGTCGACGAGGCGCTTGGCGGCCATTACACGGGCCCAGAACGGCGAGTGCGAAGAGATGACGTGGACCAGCAGTCCATCGCGACGGAAGGCATGGCGCAGCCCGGATTCGTTGGGGCCGCCCATGCAGCGCCAGACCTGTCTGGTATAGACCCGGCCGAGAACTCAGAGTTGCGCTTCAGCTGCTACACAGGCGCCAACCGCCCGCCGGCCGCAGGTGAGTCCTTCGGTAAGCGCGGGTTAGCGCGCGGGTCAGAACGGGTTATCATAACCCGACGCTAACCCGACGCTAACCCGGCACTAACCCGTGCGGCTGGGGGGCATACGTCAGCAGGGGTTTGCGCCGGGTTAGGGGTGGGTTAGGGCCGGGTTAGAGCTGGTTGGCGAGATGAAACGGCTGCTGCGGCGGGCACTTCTGTTAACATATTCTGGTCTTCTGGTAACAGACATGTTGTTGGTAACTTGATCGAATCTCGCCGAGGTCGCGGACGAGAGCACTCGGTGTACATCGAAAGCCTGGGCGGCCGGTACGTCTGGGACGAGGCTCGCTCGTGCTGGAAGTGGGTCGTCTACGTCGACTAACTAGAGCACGTCCCTCCTCACTGCTCCGTGCACGCCTGACGCCCAGTCGACGCACCTCCCGTTGCGCCCATGGCCTCCGCTACAGTGGCAGTGCGGGCTGCAGGGGGCCCGGCCCTCAACGTGTGCCAGCCAGTGATGGCCCTATAGGGAGGAGGAGTGAGTGCGCTGAGGGCGGTACATTATAGATCCTGTGGCATGAGACTGTCCCGCTCGCCATGCGCCCGCGGCTGTGGTGTGGCGAGTGAGTGAACGCACTGCTCCAAACGCACATCTCTACCATCTACCGATGCGGACGCAAAAAGCGCGCCTCGGCGAGACGGATCGCGTCACTTTGCCTGGGCCTGCTGGAATCGCCGCACGCCAGCGCTGCGTGATGATCTGGTCCCAGTTGTCCATAGGCTCGGTTGTGTCGTCTGTGTATCTACGCGAGTAGATCCGGGTGTGTTTCGCGCGCGCGCCTAAGTTGTGACCACAAATCCCGCCTAAAAAATGAAAAAGCAAACCCAAGCTCCGTACGAAAGTACGAAAGAGCTGAATGGGCGGGTCGGATGCCGGGGGGCGGGGTGGGGGGGGCCAGGGGGGGGGGGGGGGGGGCACCCCGGGCGCCCCACTCTGAGGAGGTCCGGCCCGCCCCTGGCCCTTAATGGCCCGGGGGGGGGGCCTCACCCGCAGCCGGCGCGTCCCGGGGTGGGGTCTCGGGGTGAGTCCCGGGTGAGGCCCGCCCCCCCCCCCTCCCTCGGGCTACTGTGATCCGCACATAACCCAGACTACTCGTCGCCCTGAATGGTTGCCCAGGTTACTCAGGACACCATCCCGGCGTGAACACGACGAACTGCCCTTCTCCGATGCACGCGCGGCACGCGCCACGGCGCGGCACGTGCCGCCGTCTTTGTTTGAAGTAAAAAGTCGAATCAGAGCGGTGTCGGCGTTGTCCTGAGTTTTCTCCTTCGGACCGCCCAACCGGGAGCGGGACCGCTCCGGGACGCACGCCGGCGAAGCACCATCAAGCTGCTGTACGGCCGCGGTATCGCCTCCCCTGGCTTAGCTAGACTGAGATATATTGTGCACAAGGTTGGCCTCTACAATATATACACTGACACTCTACCTCCCAGAGCTCGTCCCGGTCCGCCACGGCCATCCTTGGCCTCCGGAGGGCCCCCGGCCGTGGCGCGGTGCGGCGGCGTCGCAAATCCGACCACAGAGCACCGGGACGCGGTCGGGCGATCTGAGGTCCAACTAGGCGTATGCATTGCCCATCCATGGCTATCACCTGGACCCATCAACAGGCGCCTGCGGCGCCGTGGTCACGAGGTGTTGTTCACACCTGGGCAAGCATTCATGCAGCACAGTAACCCGCTAAAGATGGTTTGCGCGCCGCTGCTCGGCCAGCGCGTCGTGCTCGGCGGGCTGTCTTCCCGTCCCGAGCTGAACGGGCAGCGGGGCGTGGCGCAGAGCTTCGAGGGCGGGCGGTACGCTGTGGCGCTCGAGGGCGGCCGCGAGAGCGTGCGCGTGCGGCCGGGTAATCTGTCGCCAGCTGCGGCGGAGCGGGCGTCGAGCGGTGTCGATGCGGTCATCGCAGCAGCGGAGAGTGGCGAGGAGGAGGCGGTGCTAGCGTGGCTCGACAGTGGCGGGCGGGTCGACACGACGTGCGAGGGAGGCGAGACTAGCGGCATCACGCTGCTGATGGGCGCCGCCCGCTACGGCCACGAGCGGGTGGTCGAGATGTTGCTGCAGCGTGGGGCTGACGTCAACCTGCAGGACAGCGACGGCGACATCGCGCTGATGTACGCCGCCGCCAGCGGCCACGAGCGGGTGGTTGACTTGCTGATACGGCACGGCGCGGAGGTCAACCTGCAGAACAGCAAAGGCTTTACCGCGCTGGTGTACGCCGCCCGCCACGGCCACGAGCGGATGGTCGATTTGCTGATACGGCGCGGCGCGGAGATCAACCTGCTGAACAGCATCGGCGAAACCGCGCTCATGTACGCCGCCCTCTTCGACCACCCCGCCGTCGTGCGGCGCTTGCTGCGGGCGGGCGCAGACACCGCGGCGCGCAGTGTGCGCGGCAGCACGGCGCTGCAGATGGCCAAGGAGAAGGGTCACGCCGAGTGCGTCGAGGCATTCAGGCAGCACGTCAAGGAGGCGGTCGTGGCGGGACGGCCCACTGCGGCGGCAGTGGGCGGCAGAGGCGCAGGCGGCGCTTCCTCCGGCGGCGCTTCCTCGGCTGGATCGAGAGTCGCGAAGACGCCATCTCCAGCGGTGGCGGGGCGGGCGTCGAGCGGTGGCGTGGCAGTCTCCGACGAGGTCATCGCAGCGGCTGAGGGAGGCGAGGATGCGGCGGTGCTGGCGTGGCTCGAGGGCGGCGGGCGGGCCGACGCGACGTGCGAGAGAGGCGGCGTGAGCGGCATCACGCTGCTGATGGGCGCCGCCATCTACGGCCACGAGCGGGTGGTCGAGCTGCTGCTGCAGCACGGCGCGGGGATCAACCTGCAGAGCAGCGAGGGCGACACCGCGCTGATGTACGCCGCCTTGGAGGGCCACGAGCGGTTGGTCGAGCTGCTGCTGCAGGGCGGCGCGGAGATCAACCTGCAGAACAGCAACGGCGACACCGCGCTGATGCTAGCCGCCGCCAAAGGCCACGAGCGGGTGGTCGACTTGCTGATTCGGCACGGCGCGGAGGTCAGCTTGCAGGACAGCAACGGCTCCACCGCGCTGATGTGCGCCGCCCTCTACGGCCACGAGCGAGTAGTTGACTTGCTGTTGCAGCACGGCGCTGAGATCAACCTGCAGAACAGCGAGGGCGACACCGCGCTGATGGACGCCGCCGCCAAAGGCCACGAGCGGGTGGTCGAGCTGCTGCTTCGGCACGGCGCAGCGGTTGATTTGCAGGACAGCGACGGCTACAACGCGCTGATGGGCGCCGCCTTCCACAACCACCCCGCCGTCGTGCGGCGCTTGCTGCGGGCGGGCGCAGACGCGACGGCGCGCAATGCGAGCGGCAAGATGGCGCTGCACCTGGCCAAGGAGGAGGGCCACGCCGAGTGCGTGCGCGCCCTCGAGGAGCACTCGTCGACCGCAGGAGAGGCGGGGGGGGAGACGGCGGTCGCAGAATCAGCCGAACAGGCCGCGGCGGCCGCACGCGAGGTGGCAGCGGCAGCGGAGGCGGCGGAGGCGCGCGATGCAGCCGAGGCGGCGCTGCGCGAGGTGGTTGAGGCGTGCGAGCGAGGCGACGCCGATCTCGAGGCGTTCAGGGCTGCGATCGGCTCGGAGGCGCTGCAGGCGGCGCGGCGGCTGCGCGACGAGCTGGCGGAGCGAAAGGCCCGCGAGGCCAGGGCGCTGAAGCGGCAGCGGCAGAAGGAGGAGAAGGCGGCGGCAGCGGCAGCGCGGGCGGCGGAGCGGGCGGCGGAGCAGGCGGAGGAGGCGCGGGCGGCTGAGGAGGCGCGAGTGGCGGAGGAAGCGGATCGGCTGGTAGCAGAGGCTGCGGCGGCGCGGGCGGCGGAGGAGGCGGAGGCGGCGTCGCGCGCAAGGGAGGAGGCAGAGGCGAGGGCGAGGGAGGAGGCGGCAAGCCAGAGGGAGGAGGCGGCAAGGGAGAGGGAGGAGGCGAGGATGAGGGCGGAAGCGGCGGCGGAGGCGGAGGCGGAGGCGGCGGCTGTAGAGGCGGCGGTGGCGGCGATGGCGGCGGCGGAGGCTCAAGAGGCGGCAGCAGCGGAGGCGGCGGTTGCCGAGGCGGCAGCCGAGGCGGCGGCAGCCGAGGCGGCAGAGGCGGCGGCTCCTGCCAGTGTCGCCGCCCTCGCCGCCGCCGCCGCGCCGCCCGCCGCCGTCCCTCTCGACGAGCTCATCGCGGCGACCGAGGGCTTTGCCGAGGCGCGCAAGGTGGGCGAGGGAGGCTTTGGGCGCGTCTACCGCGCCGACGCGCTGCCGTCGCTTCCGCGCGTCGCTTGCGGGTTCGCCGTCAAGACGGCGCTGGTCGGTGTCGGCGCCCAAGGCCTCGCCGAGCTGCAGAGCGAGGTGCGCACGCTCAGCGCGGCGTGCCACCCGTCCCTCCTCCCTCTCCTCGGCGTCTGCCTGGCGCCGGCGAGAGCGTGCCTCGTCTACCCCCTCTGCCGCGGCGGCAGCCTCGAGGACCGCCTCTACCGCGCTCCAGCCGCACTGCAGCGGCTCCGCATGCTCGGCTTCGAGACGCCGCCTCCGCCGCTCTCCTCCGCCGCACGGCTCCGCGTGCTGCGCGACGCGGCGAGCGCGCTGCACTACCTGCACACGCTCTCTCCGATGATCCTGCACCGCGACGTCTCGGCGGGCAACATCCTGCTCGACGAGCGCGGCAACGGATACCTCGCAGACGTGGGCCTCGCGCGCGCGGCAGAGGCGACGGCCGGCGGACAGGTCTCGCACCTGTCGACGCAGCGTATCTTTGGCAAGCCCGGCTACATGGACTCGATCATCATGCACGACGGTCAGGCTTCGCAGCTCACCGATGGCTTTGCGCTCGGCATCACGCTGCTCGTCGCCCTGACCGGCCGCGGCGCTCTCGGCTTGCTCAACGCGTGCGACGATGCATTGGAGGAGCCCGACACGGCGGAGAGCATCGCGGCGGCCGACGCGGGCTGGTCGGCGGCGCAGGCCCAGGAGCTGGCGCGGCTCGTGGTCGGGCTGGCTCTCGTGAGGAAGAAGAGGCGGATGCCGCTCGCAGAGGCATTGCCGCGGCTGGAGGCGCTCGTCGAAGCGGCGGGGGAGGTGGAGGAGACGGCTGGGGCCGAGGAGCGCCTGTGTGACCTCTGCTGGGACGCGCCGCGTTCGGTCCGCTTCGCGTGCGGCCACGCGCTGTACTGCGAGGCGTGTGCGCCGCGCGTGCTGGAGCGCGACAGCAACTGCCCGGCCTGCCGCCAGCCGGCGCTGCCCATCGCCGCAACTGGGCGGCTGGTGGCGGCGCAGACGACGTTTGTCCACCAGCCGCCCTCGCGCCCCGCGCCCCAGGCTCAGCCTGCAGGCGCCACGGCGGCGGTCGGTGGGCGAGGGGGGCGGGGTGGGCGGGGTGGGCGGGGCGGGCGCGGTGGGCGGGGCGGGGGGGGGCTCGGCGGCTCTGCTTAAGTGGTTTTGGTTTCATACTTCATGTACGGAACTGGGGGGGAGGTGCTTAGGGGAGGTGAACGCGTTCACACGTGTTCGCTGTTGTGAGTGGTGGGATGTCGTGTGGGTGTTCGCCGCCTATATGCTCTATCCTGCGGCAAGACGGACGCTTTTCTATCTCTCAGTGCGCGCCAGTCCCGTGCCCAGTGTTGTGCGAGGGAGTTTTGTTGTAAAATTCTATCTCAAAATTTTTGCGGCCGCCCTCTCTCCTCTCTCTCTCTCTCTCGCTCGCTCGCTCGCGTACGAACCGGGGTCGTGCCAATACACTCCGGTCTCAGCTTCTAGTGCGGTCATCACGCCGTTTGGAGCACTTGCGGCGTTTCAATTCTTTTCTCTGGTGCGGAGTGCATTGCCGTTCTTAATGGAGTCGCTTAGGCGGCTCCGGTGGTGAGCCGGTGTGTGTGCCAGTCCGCGCCAGTCCGCGCCCTTGTCGTGCCAGTGTGCTGTGAGAGAGGCTTGGCCTGTAAGAATTCTTTTCTCTGACCGGGCTGCTCAAGTTGGTCAAAGGGCGCGGCAAGTGGTCTCCGTCGGAAGCGACGGCAGCGGCGGTGGCGGGGGAGGAGGAGGAGGCCGAGGAGGAGGGGGAGGAGGGGGAGGAGGAGGAAGCCCCCAAGGGAAAGCTCAAGGAGCAGCCTGGCGATTACCCCTTTGCGCGGCAGCAGGATTGCGATCTACGTTTGTTTGATTTTGAGGCTTTCGGAGGCTTTGGAAAGGAGGTTCGCAGCACCCTGAGGGAGGCGGCGAACCAGCTGAGCAACAAACTTTCGCACGCTCAGCACCTGGACGAGGTCACATGGACCACCAAGAACTGGCACGGGCTGCAGATGCAGCGCTTGTCTGTCGTCCTCCACACCGCCGTGGCGTGGCAGACGGTGAACGAGCTAGCGTGCGGGGAGAGCGGCATTGTGCATGGTGCGGAGTGCATTGCCGTTCTTAACGGAGTCGCTTAGGCGGCTCCGGTGGTGAGCCTGTGTGTGTGCCAGTCCGCGCCAGTCTGCGCCCTTGTCGTGCCAGTGTGCTGTGAGAGAGGCTTGTGATGTAAGAATTCTTTTCTCTGAGCCGACTGCCGCCGACTGGGTGATCTTCCATGGAGTCTCCGCCTCGCGCACGCACTAACGACGACGATGCCCCACCCACGGACTGCCTGGCCGAGCTGCCGCCGGAGCTGCACCTCCGCATCCTCGAGGGCGTCGACGACTTCTCCGACTGCGCCGCCTTCAGCCTCGCGTCGCCGCGCCTCGGCCTCCTCGCCCTGCGCAGCGGCCTGGCGCGCTTCAAGGACCCTCTCTTCGCCGTGGCGATGCGGCTGCTGCTCATCGAGCGCTTGCTTGCCGGAGCATTTGTCGGGGCGCCCATCATGGACACGCTCAACGAGGCCACCCTTCGCGCCTACGCCGCCGACCGCCGCGCCACCGCCGACCACTTCCCGTGGCTTGCGAGGGTGAGCCCGGCGCTCTGCCTCTCGGCAACGGTAGAAGGCGCTGACGAGCAACGCGCCGAGACGTGGGCGCTGCGACGCGGCGAAGAGCGGGGCGCTGATCTGCGATTTTTGAAGAGCGGCCTGGTGCGGCACTTCGAGGGCGAGCGAGGCGCAGAGCGGATGGTGCGCATGGAGTTTGCCAGCGGTGAGGTGGCCTTCTACGAGGGTGAGCGAGGCGCGGAGCGGATTGTGCGCGGGGAGATGCCCGACGGCAACGTGCAGTACTACGAGGGCGAGCAAGGTGCGGAGCGGCTGGTGCGCATGGAGTCTGCCAACGGCAACGTTCTGTACTACGAGGGCGAGGGAGGCGCGGAGCGGATGGTGCGCGTTGAGTTTGCCAACGGCAGCATGCAGTACTACGAGGGCGAGCGAGGTGCGGAGCGGGTCGTGCGGACGGAGTTGCCCGACGGCACCATGGAGCACTACGAGGGCGAGCGAGACGCGGAGCGGTCGGTGCGCGCGGAGTTGCCCGACGGCAACGTGCAGTACTTCGAGGGAGACAAACGTGCGGAGCGGCTGGTGCGCATGGAGTTTGCCAACGGCAATGTGCAGCACTACGAGGGCGAGCGAGGTGCGGCGCGGATGGTGCGGACGGAGTTGCCCGACGGCAACGTGCAGCACTACGAGGGCGAGAAAGGTGCGGAGCGGAAGGTGCGCGTGGTGCTTGCCGACGGCAGCATGCAGTACTACGAGGGCGAGCGAGGAGCGGAGCGGAAGGTGCGCGCGGTGAGTGCCGACGGCGACGTGGAGCACTTCGAGGGCGAGCGAGGCGCGGAGCGGGTGGTGCGCATTCTGGATTTTTTTGAGGAGTTTTGGGGGGCTAGCGGATAGGGGTTTAAGAGACTGCCGTTGAAGAGATTGCTGTCACGGGGGCTTAGGGTACCCTACCTAAAGGGATGGACCGCGTGAGTTGAGGAAATCGGAGGACGCGACCATCGCACACACACCAGTGTAACCGCCGATCCATGATGGCGCGCGTAGCTATGACAGGGACCGCGGCCGCGGACCCGGTGGCGGACGGGGCTGGCGCGCAAGCGCCGGCCACCGTCGTACTGCCGGGGATGCGCAGCGGACCCTGGAATCGCTCCGATCGCGCGCAACTGGAGGACGCGGTGGGTGTCGCACGGTTGTTCGGTGCGTCGTGTGTCAGGCTGATAAGGCCTGGCTACGCGACCATCGAGGTCGACCTGAAGCACGAGAAGGCCGCGGGCGACCGCGAGTCGGTGAAGGTGGCGGAGCGCTCGTACATCGAGCGCACCGCGCCGAAGAAGAAGGAGCTCACTGATGAGCAGCTTGCGGCTCGAACCGCGTCACGCAAGGCCAAGAAGATCCGGCATCTCTCCTTACCCCTTGTCGACCGGCTGCAGGTGCACAACCAGGCGGATCCCTCGCGCAACGTCGTGAGGCAGCACCTTGCCACTTGGAACGCGGGCGAGCCTTTAAAAAGCGAAGCAAAGCAGAAGCCGTCCGAGAGCACACGATTGCATGGGACCAACCGATAGCGCTCTCTTGCGTGCGGCCCCCACTCTTGCGAGAGAATGCCATCGCCCGCGGTAGGCGTTCCCGACTTTGGCTACCGCGACTGCATTCGCCTTGCTCGCCTGACCGAGCCTGATTCAGGCGCGGCGTTTGGCCCCCACTCCCCCCTCTCTTGCCGCACCGGGTTGACCAGTCCCGAGGTCGACGTCCCTCTTTAGTTTGTGCCCGGACTCCGTCAGGCTTCCTCGTCGGCGATCGCTTGGTGGTGACCGTGCAGGTGACCGGAAGGCCGTAGGGGTGCGGTAGAAGACGAATCCTCAACTTAGCGTTTGGTGTCCTTCAGGTTTCTGACCCCGACGACCAGCTGGATAAGAAGAGCGGGCTCGGCACCGGTCAGGTCAGCGGCGGGCGTATCGTGCGTGCTCTCTCTTTCAGGCACAAGGCGCGCCTGACCGTGCGGTCTACGCCTTCAACCCTGCGGCCGGTGAGCAGGGGAGACTCGTTCGCCAGTCAGTCAGGCAGGCGATCAAGGAGCAGTGATATTGGCGCATGAAGCGCCTAGCCGACTGGGGAGAGGTTGGGTGCTACTCAGAGGATGGGCATACTCGGTGCTTTGACTTCTGTGCCGGCCGCGCGTCGCCGCGCTCCTGGTGCCGTATTCGACCTGTCGGAAACAGCACACGCAAACATGCGATAGAGAGTGCAGAGCGGCGAGAGCAGCGCCGGGGATCGCACTTCGCAGAGTAGAGCAGAGATACGCATATAAGAGTAAGATACCGCCCGGCGTATATAGCGCGCGAACACCTCCATGTGTCGTCTTGTTCATGTTTTCTGAAGACAATTTTTATTCAACTTAGCGGTGGAAACAGGGAAGCCCAGGAGCGCGAGGCCGAGGCCACCAGGTGCCCCACACGCCGCGGCTGGCGAGGCCGAGGGCCGAGCGGCGTGACACTCACGACAGGCGACTCAAAAACCGTGCGCACTGCGGAGAGGTGTGTTTTTGAGGTGAGGTATGGCGCCGCGACCCGCGAGCCGCGTGACCGTGTGCGCGTGCTTTTGGAGGCTTGTTTGTGCATGGTCCATGGAGGTCGTCGTGACGTCGATCGGAGTGTGGGGGTTGTGACGACGAAACACACGGCCGGGAACAGCTGCAAAGTCCAAAAAGAGCGCGCGCACACACGCCCAACACTCTGACTCTCTCGTACTCTCGAGCGGGCTCGAGAGCAGCATCGGTTGGTCCGCGTGACGGCATGCGGAAAGGCCACGGTCACACGAGCTCCCATTCTGCTGCAACAGCGACAGCGCAAGCGGAAGCGGGAGCCTGACTCGACGGTCGGATCACGGACTCGCAGCAGGGGGTCGCGTTTAGTCGGGGCCGGTGTTTCGCTTGGAGTCGTCTGGATCGTGGCGCGTGAGCCCCTCCGTCTCGGACGGGGAGACGGTGGCGTACTTATTGACGTCGAGGCAGCGTGAGATTGGCGCGGGGCAGCACGAGTCGAGGCAGTCGGGCTTGCCCTCGCTGCTTGCGTGCTTGAGGTGGCCATACAGGACAACCCCAAACATCGCGACGGTGACGCCCGCGATGTTGTTGTACAGCTGCTGCGCGTCCCCCGCGACGGGGAAGAAGACGTACCCGCCGATGAGGACGAGGCACCTACCTCGCACCGACGGGCGGGGTGACGGGCGGCGCGCGGCGCTGAGAGGGTGGCGGCCGGCGGCGGAGGCCGCACGTCTTTGCATGGCCAACGACCTGGAAGGTGATGGGGGACGTCTTGCCGATGAGGCCGAAGGAGCACCAGTTGACGAGCAGGGCCAGGAAGCACGTCGCGAGGATGGTGCCTACAGCGCCACGAACGAACCCGCAACTCAGGGGCGCGGCCGTCCGCACCCGCGGCGGCGGGGCAGCGGCAGAGGGGGAGCGGCGCCGACGATGCCGTCGGGGACCCGCCCCGCGCGCCACTGCGAGAGGAAGGCCATCGTCGAGTCGGAGCACTCGCCTGCGGCACCGGCCCGCGGCGTTAAGGGCGCACTGGCGCGAGGCGCGACGGCGGAGGTTCGCCGCTGCGCGGGCACGCCTCTGCCGTCGAGCTGCTGCGGCGCGAGGCAGAAGCTCTCGACGGCGAGGGATAAGCCGCAGGAGGAGAGGGCCTGGTAGAAGGAGACCGAGTACTGCAGCTGCGTGCCGCTCATACCTGCGAGGCGGGCGCCGCGGTCTCGGAGCCGTCGGCCACGCGGCGGCAGGCGGCGGTGGCGCGGCCCGGGCGAGGCCGGCGGCGGCCGGCAGTGGCAGCGCACCGTACTCTTTTTGCTTCGTGCCCTGCCAGATCTGGAACATGGCGGTGGAGAGGACGGCGAGGACGCCAAAGGCCAGGCCGAGCGGCCTCAGATCGACGTCGGAGACGGTGGCGATGCCGACGCCGGCGAGGAGGATGAGAAGAGAGAGCTTGACCTTGTGCGTGGTCGAGACGGTGTACATGTAGAAGTTGATCAGCAGCGTGACAGGCACTATGGTGAGCTTGGTGACCTGGCGGTCGGGTGAGCGAGCGAGCGGGAGCGTGAGAGGGAGGGAGGGAGGGAGGGAGGGAGGGAGGGAGGGAGGGAGGGAGGGAGGGAGGGAGGGAGGGAGGGAGGAATGAGTGTGTGGGAGAGGTGAGAGAGTGGGTGAGTGGATGTGCGAGAGAGCAGTGACCTGGTAGAATCCGACGCTGTTGAGCGAGAGGGAGACGTTCATGAAGCCGATGGAGGCGACGCCCGCAAAGGCGACCTTGAACTTGTCGGCCTCGGGCATCGGGCTCGACGGCAGCTCAAAGAGGTTGCAGGCTAGAAGCAGCCTACAAGAGCGTGCGCCGGCGCTCACCTCCCGCGGCGGGCGCGGACTGCGAGATGGAAGGAGCGCCGGTAGAAGACGACGGTAAAACAAAAGTGGAAGAAGGATAGCGTGAACGGAAAGTGGAAGCCGGCGGCAAATACCTGTGTGCGGTGTGCGGCGCGGCATAAAAGTCTCGTCACGGCGGTGGCGGAGCATGGCGGCGGCGCACTCTCTTGTTGACCAAGACGATCGCGACCGAGCTCAGGACGTTCCCTATCGCGTACCAAGTCGCCGCGCCCATGGGTGAACCAAGTGTTGGGCGGGCGCGGTGAACGTGCCACAGCGAAATTTTGCTGTTCACGCGTGTGTGAGCTGGCGAGTAGAGGCACACGCACGCACTCTCGAGGTCTCTTGGAGCAGAGCCCCTGGCGAGCCCTCGAGAGAGCCCAATGGGTCCCTCGAGAGGGGTACCCTGGGTGGGCGGGGCTCCTCTACTCGCCAGGTGTTAGAGAGTGGGCCCGTGTGAGTGAGTGAGTATTCTTGATACGAAACCACGACGACACACACCAGTCGACTCGCATCGGTTGCCTCCATGAACGGCGGAGCTATTCTCGCGCCCACACCACACCTGGCTCCAACGTGGACACGCCCATACCCCATAGCTGGGGACACTACTAGGTCACGCAGCATCAGAAGTTTTATCTCTGTGGGCCCCGAAAGGCATCTCTAGCAGCGTCGTTACGCATACACATATGCGCCCTCCCCTCCTGGCGGTGTCCGGTGCGGAATCGCTCGCGGACCCGCCCGCTCCCCCTACGTGCTACGACGGCGGCCCACGCCTCGAGTCGAACGAGGCCTCGCTCTACGATGGGAGCGACGAGGAGTTCTAGGAGCGGCCGAGCCCTTCCCCGCAGCGCAACCCTAGCAGCGCAGCGGCCGAGCGGGCAGAGGGCGACTCGCGCAGCGCGCGGATCGCGCAAGCGGCGCGCGCGAGCGAGCGAGCACGCACACACACACACACACACACACACACACACACACACACACACACACACACACACACACACACACACACACACACACACACTCACACACACCCACACACACACACACACACGCACACACACACGCACCCACGCACGCACGCACGCACGCACGCACGCACGCACGCACGCACGCACGCACGCACGCACGCACGCACACGTCCCAACTCCCCAGAAATCCCGAGGAGCCGTGCAGTAACCTAGATAAGTCTGTGTGCTGTGACCTGTGTGGTGCACGCCCTCCGAGCGGGGCGGGGTCTGCCCGTCGGGTTGCTGCCCTAATCCCACCAGGGGTTGTCTGTCTGCTCTATTTATTTAGTTAGTTAGAGAGTGGGACGACCGCGAGGTGGCATGAAGGTTGCAGCGAGAATCGGCGAGAGAATGCGAAGAGAGATAGGAAGAGGCGGACGCCCAAGGGTGGGCGACGGCTAGCGCATCACACACTCCTCTCCTTAAAATCCCTGGTGTGGACTGTGGTGGCGGCGTGCCGTCCTCCCATCCATCCCTCCCTTGGGTTGTGTGCCAGTTTTCTTTCTTTCTTTCTTTCGTAGCGTGTTAGGCGCCAAGACAGACAGACCACCACAGGGAGGCGGCCAGGGCTCATGGACTCGGTCAAAAGACCCCAGGTTGGCACCCCATGCCTCTCTCGGGACAGACAGGGTTGCCCGCCACAACGACCCCTCCCTGGAATTGCGACCCCTGCCTGTGATATGAGTTTATTAAAATGAACTTGGCGGCACGGGACGCGGCACAAACGGGGCACAAACGCCAGGCTACAAAGACGGGGAGGCACGTAGTGACGCAGGCAGGGGAGTCTAGGCGACGGCGGCGTCCTCCGACGCCGCGGCGAGCCTGAGCTCTCTGTGTCTTGATCGTTTTTTTCCCGACTAGAATTCTTAAAAGAGAAGCCTCTCTCACAGCACACTGGCACGACAAGCGCGGATTCGCACTAGAATTTTACAAGAAAAACTCGCTAAGCGCAGGCCTGGTCGTGCCCACTCCATTGCCCCTGCCCCGCCGCCCTCGCCGCCTCCGATGGAGTTCTCCGCGAAGGATGGCAAGCGCTGCCCTTTCTGCCGCAAGAAGGTCGAGCTCGGCACCCGCAACCGCGCTCTGTGCAACGGCCTGTGTACCAACACAGGCCGCAGTTCGGGATGCAAGGCCGCTGCGCAGACGGCGGCGCTCGGTGCACTCACGAAGGCGGAGCGGCGGCTGTCGTCCCTGCAGGAGCCAAGCGCGCGCGACGGCGGCGGTGGCGCGCACGGCGGCGGCTCATGCGGCGTGTGCGCACATGAGCTCTCGGGCGACTGCACGCACACGGTTTGCGTTTCCGGCCACAAGCTGATCCTGCACGAGAAGTGCTTCCTAAAGCTCAAGGCGAAGGAGCACAAGCAGTGTGGGCTGCACTGCCCCCTCGACCGCATGAAAGTGACGCAGGTCTGCTGCTCGGCGGAGGACTGCTACGCCAAGCTGTTGTCGGCCGAGGCCGTGGTCGTCGAGGTCCGGTCGCACGAGGGCGGCGAGGCGCCCGCTGTGGGCGGCGAGTCGCGGGAGGGCCGGCGGGAAAAGGACGCGGAGGGCGACGCGAGGCGGCGCAAGGAGGACGCCGCCCTCAAGGCCCTGCAGGAGGCGACAGGTGGGCAGGAAGTGGCGAGGCAAGAGGCGCGCCGGCTGAAGGCCGAGGCGCGCTCGGCGGAGAAGGCGGCGGCGGCGGCGCGGCGCGAGGCGGAGCGAAAGGCAAAGTCGGACGTGCTCAAGGAGAAGTTTGCGCGGCGCAGGGAGGAGGCGGCAGCCGAGGCGGCAGCGGAGGCGGAGGTTGCGGTCCTCACGCTGCAGCTTGGGTGGCGGACGGTTGTCGACCGGCTGCGGTGCCTTCCCCGCCCTCCCTTGCCGCACGGCTCCTCGACCCTCTCCACGCGCAAAGCACCCCTCCCCTCATCGCCAATCCCCCCCCCCCCCCCCCTCCCCCCCCTTCCCTCCCTCCCCCCCAGGGCGCGGGCGCAGCTCCGCGCAGTCGCTCCTGACCAAGAGGGCCGCGAACCAAGAGGCTGCCGCCGTGGGAGCGGCACCGCAGACAGGGAGCTGGCCGAGGAGCTGGCGGCCGAGAAGGTCGCGCCGGCAGCACACAAGGAGCAAAGGGAGGTGCCGGTGGTCATACAGCCCGCACGGCTCGCGAAGCAGCCGGAGGGGCGTGGCGGCGCCGGGGCGCGTGGCGGCGGCGGCGCAAACTCGCTGCAGTACGCGCTGCGCGCCCTCGCCGCAGGGCACGCGGCCCGAATCGCGGCAGGGCAGGACTCGCCTCCGCCCCCCGCAGTCGCACCGGCGCCGCCGGGGGCGGCGGCTTGGAGCGCACGGCAGCAGCAAGAGACGGAGGCGGCGCAGGCGGCGGAGGCGACGCGGGCGACCGAGGTGGCGGAGACGGATGAGACGGCGAACGAAGCGGCGCGCGAGCGGGAGCGTCTGCGACGCGCGGAGGCGGTGAGGGTGGCGGCTATGACGCGCCAGGCCGCTGCGGCGCGCGAGGCCGCTGCGGCGCGCGAGGCCGCATCGCAGCGGGAGGTGGCAGCCGTCCGCGCGGAAGCCGCCTCGCGAGCGGCATCTCTCGCCCGAGAGGCGGAGGCGGCGGCGGCCTCAGCGGCGCGCGCAGCCGCGGCGGCGCGCGAGGCGGAGGCGCGCGAGGCGCAAGCGGCGAAGGAGGCGGCCGAGGCGGCGGACGCCATGGCCCAGGCGGCGCCGACGGATGGTCCAGGGCGGCTCGAGCGAGATCAGCCTTCTCTGAACCTTCCCGGAACCTCCCCACAGGCCAAGGCGATGCGGCTCGAGCGCGAAGCCACCGCGCACGCGCCGCCGACGGCGCCCGTCTTGTCTGCGGCGCCGGTCCGCGCGGTCGCCGGCGAGTCGTTGCCGGCGAAGGTGCATCGGGTCTGCGCTGCGCTCGAGCTGCCCGGCGACGGCGGGCTCGTTCGCCTCGTCCGGGAGGCCAACGCAGCTTTGGGCATCGAGCCGACGGGCAACCTCGTACAGCAAACGGACCGGCTGTTGATAGCACTCTTTGGCTGACACGCATGGGCGCTCGATGCGTGGTGCGCAAGCGAGCGCACGTGAGGGAGCGAGTGGCCGTCCCAGGGTGAACTTCGCCACATACACAACGGTGCTGCCGCTGGAGGTAGGGCAAGGGCGGGCAACCTTCGCGGCCATACACAGTACTCCGTCCTCCTGCGATGCGGTGTGCAGTGGCAGAGTGGTCGTGCTCGTGTGGGTTCTCGAGAGAATGTGTATCATCTGGCTTCCGGAATACTTCCGCGAAGCTGCCCCCAGCAGGCGTTTGACCAAAATCCGGGTTGTTGCACGAGTATATGGGACAAAAGCGTCGAAAATGTCCCAAAAAGCGTGTCTCGAGTTTGTTGCAGCCCCACAGCCGGCGCGCGCTGCCAGGAAGCACCGCTCGCGTGTCGGCGGCACTCCCTGGCACCCAGTGAGTGCCGCGAACCGACCAGACCGAATAGGCTCGACGCCGTGCTCGCTGTGGGGCTGCAACAAACTCGCCGCCGAGCGTGACACCGAAGGCGTCCCGGCGGAGGTGATGGAGTGTGAGACCTGAGGCTGCGGAGGTGACGCCTGAGGTACCGGTCCGTGCACAGCGACTCAGCCGGCGACCGCCACGGGCTCAGACGAGACTTGTCGACTCGTTCCAGCTCAGCTTCACCGTGGTCCTCGGGCGTCTGTCGACGTCAGGACCACCCATACAGCTCGAGGGTTTGAGGTCGCAAGAGCCAAGATGGTGGCGTTTGGACATCCCAACCATCACACAAGACAGCCTGTAGGTGATGGCGGGACGGCGCAGTGTTTGTGGCACTCGGCAGTAGGCACCCGCGGCACGGCCCCGCTGTCGGCTCTCGCGGGCTGCGGAACCGGACCCAGAAAGGGACGGTCCGGGCGAGTGTGGCAGCTCCTGCGCTAGTATGGGCACCATCTATCACAACACTACTGACCCTGGCCATTAGAGCTGCCAGGGATAGCGTCAGGAGCCGGTAGGAGTCAAAACCCCTCATATTTGAGACATCGTGGCCCATATACTCGTGCAACAACCCATCCAAATTTCCCTACTCCAGTTGAGGCTGCCCTCGGACCCGAGAAATGTGTTTTTTGTGACACAATGTGAGGACAACTTGCGGGAGAAGGGTTACTTGTAGCACACACTGAGCCGGCGGGAGGCTCAGAGCGGTTGTGAGCGACGTGGAACTGTCAAGCTCCCTTCTCCGCCAGCCGTGCGAGTTCCTCGGCGATGGCGGCAAGGGCGGTGTCGATCTCCGACTCCGCGTTGATGTAGCTCGGGCTGATGCGCACGACGGAGGGGCGTGCGCGGGCGGCAGGCTCGAAGTGGTGGGTCGATGGCGACACCGAGACGCTGATGCCTCGCGCCTCGAGCGCGGAGTGGAGGTCGGCCGATCGGACACCGAGGGTGGACTCTGCCTCGAAGGTGACGATGGCGCACCGCGCCGCGCCCAAGCTGCGAGCCACCTCCTCGTCGAAGCTCGGCGGCGCGTCGCGGATCACACACCCGGGGATGGCCGCCAGGCCGGACCTCAGCCGCGCCGCCAGCCGCGTCGCGTGGGCAAAGTTGCGCGCTGGGCCGGTGGCGCGGCACACGACGGCTGCTGCTTCGAGCCCGTGGCGAGCGGCCTCGTCCGCTTCCCACATCTCGAAACGTTTGGCATCGGGCAGCAGCGTGTAGCTGTCCGGCGTGGACCAGACGGCGCCCGAGTGGTCGATGAGCGGCGGCTCGCCAAACAGACTCGTCGAGCCGGATCGCGTCGCCTCGTCAAGCGCCCGACGCCGCACGTACAGGAAGCCGGTGCCGCGCGGCGCACGGAGCCACTTGCGACCGGTCCCGCACGCAAAGTCACAGCCGAGCGCGCGCACGTCGACCGGCAGCTGGCCGACCGACTGGCATGTGTCGAGCAGGAACACGGCGCCGTACCTCTCGCACAGCGCCCCGACGGCCGCTGCCGGCTGGACGATCGACTCGCTCGTCTGAATGTGCGTGAGCGCCACCAGCGTCCTCCCCGGCCTCTCGGCTCGCTCACTCGTCGTCGTCCGCTGCAGGGCTGCCTCGAGCGCGGGTACGTCAGCGATCCCGTCGGTGCGCATCGGCAGCACCTCGATGCGAGCGCCCGTTCGCCTGGCCATCTGCAAGTAGGCCACCGCGTTGCCCGCGTACTCGGAGGCAAAGCACAGGATACGGTCGGCGGAGGAGGTGAAGTTGAGAGAGTAGAAAGCGCGCGCCCATGCTGCCTGAGCCGAGTCGAGCAGCGCGACCTCCTCCACGTCGCAGCGCAGCAGCGTTGCGAGCGCCTCCCGGGCAGCGTGCGGACGCTTCTTCTGCGCTGTGTACGCTCCGACCTCGACCTCGTACTCGAGATAGCCAACCATCGCGTCGCGCGCCTCCGTCGGCATCGGCGACGCGCCCGCAGCGTTCAGGTGGAGGACGGTGGAAGGAGTGGAGTCGCCGTTGCACTCCGACGCCGTCGCTCGCGCCGGCCGGGTGGCGAGGAGACGGCGGCCGCAGAACCGCGGCCCACACAGCCGGGCTAGGACGCCAGGTGCGAGTACCGAGATGGCGACGCCAGCGATGCCGGCGACGACCGCGGTGCGCCCGTGCATATATATTTGCAAGGAATTCTTCCGACGGCATCGGCCCATACTCGAGTGTTGGAGAGTGTGAAGTCAAACCTACTTCCTGACCGTAGCCTGACCGTCCTGAACGCGGCATGAAATTCTTACGGTGGTAACGACATGGACATGGACGTGGACGATCCGACCCTTGACGATCAGCTTCCCACGCTCTGCACGCTCGGCGAGGACGCGCTGCTGCTCGTCCTCGAGATGTGCGATTCGGTCACGCTCTGCGCCCTTGCGCGCTCGACGTCGCTCTTCACCCGGCCGGCGCCGGGCGAGGGCCTCTCCCTGCCCGAGCGAGCGGCCTGGGCGACCATGCGGCGGCACTTCGCGTCGGGAGCCGCGAGGCCGTACGAAAGGGGCGCAGCCGAGCAGCACCGGCAGGTGCTCTCTCTGCACGAGCGCGGGATGCTCCGGCCCGGCGTGCTGCATGACGTTCCGCTTCACGCGGTGGAGGGCGCGGGCTCCGGCTGGGAGGTGGCATATCAAGCCCCGTACCAGCACCGGACCTCCGACGCCGATCTTGACGTGGCGGTGCCGCGCGACGCGCGATATGTGCTGCTCGGTGCGTTGTCGATGACCGGCGCGCGCTCGACGGACCGCTATGAGCGCGGCCAGGCGGTGGGGGTGCCGCTTCCCGACCGCGAGACGCTCGAGGACGGCAGCGCACTCGCCTTCTCGCTGCTCGCGTGGGGCCGGCGAGACACGGTGCTCAAGGCGACGCACGGCGAGAAGGAGTTCGAGGGCGGCGCGACGAGGAGCGACAACCTCGAGGCCGGCGTGCACTTTTACCGCTGGTGGGAGCGACGCCGCTCCCTGCCAAGCCCCGCCGCGCGCACACCGCCTCATTGCACATGCGCGCGCTGCAGATGCAGATGCAGATGCACATGCTCTCAGGCCGGCCCACGCCATCGGCTTCAGCTCCGACCCGGACCTCTTCTTGTACTACGCCGACTCGGCGATCAAGCGCGGCATGCGGGAGGCGCGCGCGCGTGATCGCCTATATCTCGGCTGTATCTCGGCTATATCTCGGCGGCATGCGGGAGGCGCGCGCGCGTGCCGCCGCCGCGTGCATCGGCATCTCGGCTTGAGGAGTGCGCGGCCTGGCCCGACCGTTGCCGCGGCGTGCAGGCGGCTCCCGGCGACCGCCTCAGCTGGAACCTCGAGACACAGTCGACGGGCGGCTGGCGCGCGGGCCTCGCGTACGACCTCGGCGACTCGACGGAGTGGTACAAGTGCTGCTACTACCGGATGTGAGGCACCCCAAAAGCAAGCCGTTAGGACACTGCTCTGTGTTCGCTCGCTTTTTGTGCGCGGCCCCCTCGTCTAGTGCCATCTCAGGCTACACCGGTGCTAGCTGCTTGTCGCGAATTACTGTTTCGTCACTCTCGCCATGCAAAGCGTGTTACCTTGTAATATTCGTTACCTTAAAATATCGACGGAAAATGTTTTGCCACGTACGCGGCACGCGGATAACACAAAAAAATCGTCCTGTGCGTCGCGTAGCGCGGTTTGCCCGTATGGATGTGTGACGATTTGCACTGGCGTGCCGGCTCTGCGCGCCCTGATTTAACGCGTTCGTGCGACTGCGACGCGTACGTGCGTAGTGTACGTGCGACGGAGATGACTGCTCTTCCCCGCAGTTTATCGCTAGTCCATCCGCTGAGCCGGCACGCCAGCAAATCTGGTTCAGCCGCAGAGCCGCTAGTGGCTGAGCCCTGGCTGTCAGGCTGTCAGGTGCTGTCAGGTGATCTGTCGGCTGTCGGGCAGCTGTCAGGCACTGTCAGGTGCCTCTGTCAGACCAGCTGTCGGGTGCTGTCAGTGCTGTCGGGTGCTGTCGGGTGCGTGTCTGACATCAGAGGGGATCTGTAGCTGTCGGGTGCTGTCGGAGCTGTCGGGTGTTGCTGTCAGACGCTGTCGGAGCTGCCAGAGCTGTCACGCTGCTGCTGCTGTCAGACGTTGGGCTGTTGCTGTCAGGTGCTGTCAGGTGGTGCTGTCGGGGTGCTGTCAGGCTCTGACACACACCAGCCACACTTATGACATTATCAAGAGGAGACCAGCAGGACTCTGCTGCACATACTCTAGTCTCTACTCTGCCTCCGGTCCCACCATCTTCTTCATGGTGGACGTCACCATCTTCTTGTCTGCCGCACTGAGAGAATAGCAGAGAGGCAGGGGGGAGTGCTTCTTCAGGTACACCTTGCTGATGATCTGGTAGTTGCTGGTCCAGCGGAAGGCCTCCCCATCGTTGTCGCTCGTCAGCTTGTAGTACTTGCACGCTCTGTTCTGGTAGCGCGGGCCGTCTGGGGGGGTCCCGTCACCCTTCACCTCACGGTACCACCGGAGGATAAAGAGGCCCTTGGGGTCGTTGATGAAGACCCCGTTGCTGCGCTGACTCATCGAGAGCTGGCGCAGGTACTCTGCGCTCGAGCTGCCAGTGGCGCGGCGCGCGTCTACCGTGCCGTCGGCGACGGCCACCTGCTCGATGTTGCCAATGGCAAAGACCTTGGAGCTGTCCTCCATGGTGAAGAGCACCGCAACTGCGGAGAGAAAGAGAAGAGGGAGAGATAGAAATGCACGTCTTATGTGTGTGTGTGACAGGCGGCAAGGGCGTGGTCACCGTCATCATCATCCATGTAGAAGTCGAGCTCCTCATCCACATCCTCGCCTCGCTGCTGATGGGACTTGATGAGCCGCTTGACGTGGAAGCGGAGCTTGCGATCCTTTGACTCCTCCTGGATGGAGACGTTGAAATCTGCCAGCAGCTTACGGATCTCCTCAAAAAACTCTGCGCTGCTGCCCTCCTCGCCGCCGGTTGGAGGCGCCACGTTGGCCCCCGTCCGCATCAGCTGGTTCAGCACGGCCTCGGCATCTGCAGCATCCTGTGCGCCCATGGCGGTCAGCTCGGCCGGCTCAGCATCGGGTGTGCCGTTTGGATCATCCTCCTTCTCTCCCGGCTCCTCCAGCAACGCGCCACCCTGGACATAGGTGTCAGCCAGAGGAAAGTGCAAGCACGGCTGCTTGAAGAAGCCGGTCTGTGCACAGAGGTTGGCGCGGACTCCACAGAATCGAAGGCGCGGACCACATACACATGTCTTTGCATGTAATAGTTTTGCTATACCCTCCTGGGACACAAGAAAGAGGCTGCACGGCCTGAGTACGGTCTGTGCTGCTGTCGGGCTGGTCGGGCTGTCGGGCTGTCAGCGCTGCTGTCAGGCCGCTGTGTGCTGTCGGGCTGTCGGGCAGCTGTCAGGCTGTCACGTTAGGGCCTGACAGCGACGGGACGCCTCTGATGTCAGGCTCTGCTGTCAGGCTGTCAGAGACGTGCTGTCAGACTGTCGGAGAAAGTGCTGTCAGCGCTGTCAGGCTGTCGGGCACTGTCAGGCGCTGTCCGGGGTTTGTTGTCAGGCTGTCAGACCAGGGCTCAGGCTAGTGGGACCCCCCCCCCCCCCCTCGTGGAGCGCGACACCGCCGGCGCTGCGCCTGCTTCCCTGAGCGGCTTCTGTGGCGAGGCGTGGAGGCAAAAGAAGAAATGAGGGCATACGCTGGACAAAGTTCGAAAAAGAGTTTTACGGAAAAAAGAAAGCAAGCGAAAAAAGAAGGATGACAATCCTGAGACGCTCTCACTCGGCGGCTACCTTCCGCGCAACAGCGCCAACATGCAGGCCTCTGGTGAGTCCTCGGCCTCGACCGCACCTACATCCTCCCACCCGCCAGAAGACATCATGAGGGAGTATGACACACGGGTGGTGACTTCACTCAAGGCACTGCAGCAGACGGCGGCATCAATAATCAAAGCACGGGAAGGGAAGAGGAAGGGACTCGAGGCGGAGAGGAAGGAACGAGTGGCCGCGGAAACAGAATGCCTGAAAGAGGGACAGAAGGAAAGAAAGGAGAGGATACGAGAAATGGAGTGGGCGGCGAATGCGTGTATTTGCTTACAGTGCGGAAAGCCGCGCAGCAATGGACCGAGGAAGCTGAGAACCCGCCTAGAGCGACGATGGCGCACTTGCTTAGCGGCGCCTGCCTGGGGAATAGGGAGCAGGCCAGATGGTTCCTCAGAGTAGCGCGAGCGCAGACGGGGACGGCGATCAGCAAAGTAGCCCAGGCGGCACCCGACTCCAAGGATACGCTGAAGACGCTGAGGATAGCGCATGTCGCTGCGCTGAAGGGCTCACGCTATAGGGTGCTGGATGAGGACGGGTACGATGCACTAGCCCCAGCCGTCGGGGGGGTGTTGCCAGCACTGGTAGATGATCTCTCGGAGAAGAGTCGGAGGGACGTTGGCGCCGGGGTCACGAGGAACTTGCAAATCGTGGCGGAGGCGGCGACGGGAGCGGTGCAGAGGTGGATCCAGCTCAATGATGAGGCTACGGCGCGCATAATGAAGGGAGAGGAACACATTGAGTGGCTGAGGAAGCTCTTCACTGGGTGGAAAGAGGCTCGGCCGGCCTTGAGGGAGTCGCGGAGGAGGAGGGATAACGCAGGCAACGCAGGGACGGGCCAACAGCCAGTGGGACGAACGAGGGCCGCGACGGCGGCTCAAGCGGGAGGGAGCGGAGACGGTGGGCAGCGAGCGAAGTGGGTGAGACTGATGATGCTCCTTCGACTTAGGGAGCGGTTCAGCTGCTGGGCGGGCTTCAGGCTGGTGCTCACGCGAAGACAGAGGCGCCAGTGATGACGAAGCAGAAACTAGCGCAGACGAGAGCAGGGCAGAACCGGGGACTGGGGAGCCGGAGCAGACGGCATCGGCCGCCGAGGGAACGCTGGGAAGAGGCACGAGGAGGGCGGCGACCTCGACCGACTATGGAGGACCCGTCGCCAGACGACGCAGGGCAGACGACGGGGAGGCGGAGCAGACGCGCAGGGCGAGACGAGGGAGGGAGCAGGACTTTGCGGAGATCAGTAGGAGGATGTACGACGAGATTAGGAGCAGCAGGGACCCGAGGGACCATGTGGAAGACGGCTAGTGCTAGTCCCCCATCGGGAGGACGACCCCGGCTAGTCGCCGACCACACCCACAAAGAACCCTGCACAAAGATCGCAAGGGCGGGGACCTGTTCCTTTTTACCCATCTCACAGTAGAGAGGTGTCCGTTTTTATTTATTTATTTGTATTTGCTGGCGACGGAGGCGACATCGAGAGAGAGATTTTTAGCAATACCAAACAACTCTAACACTCACACGTCATTTGTTTGACATCGACAGAACGTGAGGCCGAGGAGAAGGAAAGGGAGGAGGCAGAGAGACGCCTCGAAGCGGGGAGAGGCAGAACGACAAGAGCGATGGGGGTGGCACTCAAAACGACCCACTGCGAGCTCGAAGGCGAGAAGGCCGGCGCAGGAAACGCGGTGAGAGGCAGTAGAGAGCACTCCACCGATACCGTTTTTATGGCGGACTGACTGTGCCCCAGCACCAACCAGGGACCCCACACCCCTGCCCCGTTACGCCCTGGGGCACCCGCAGGCGGGGCGCAGAAGGGCGCCGTCGTCTCCTCCTCCTCGCGACGCGCCAGGCAGGGACCCACCGAGTGAGTGAGTATTACACACACACACACACACGGACCCACCCAGCCCCGTTACGCCTACATATTGTGACTTCATCCATGCGCCTGGTGCATAAGAGACATTTCACAGCCTTGTTATTGAGAAGAAAATACCTCCTATGGCGCTGTGCGCTGGTCTGTGAGAGGTTGAGGTGCGAGCCCTGGAGGCCCTGGAGCTGCGGGAGATGTTTGGGAGATACAGCTACAGTCACACGGACCCGCGGGGCGTGCGCAGCTCGCGACGGAGATGTTTGTAGAGCCCGGGCTCGCTGCGAAGCGGTGAGCGGCGCCCGAACGGCAGGGTAGCGTGACGGTCACACAGGAGCGACACACAGAACCACAAGACAAGACACACACACACACACACACACACACACACACACACCAGCACCAGCCAGGGACCCCACCGTTACGGGCCCGGGCGCCAGCTTTTGGTCGTTCCCAACGTGAGCCGCCCCGCTCCCGCGCCCTCCATTCTAGCTGCGCCGCCGGGCTGCTCGCGCGTGAGAGTGGCCGCGCGCTTTTGGTGAGGAGGGTCGGCGCGCTCCCAATCCCTCGCCTCCGCCTCCGCCTCCGTACCGCCTCCGCCGCCGGGGAGGCCAAGCGGCGGCGACGGCGGCCCGAGCGCGCCCGCTCCCCTGCCCGACTCTGGCTGCGCCCCCTGCGCTGCCGGCGCCTCCGACACCGCTGGTCGCGGGCCCCACGGTGCAACCGTCCCTCGCCCTCCCCGCCGCAGGTACGCGTCCAAACCAGCCATGGGTGACCGCAAAGCCGTGATCAAGAATGCAGACATGTCCGAGGACATGCAGCAGGACGCCGTCGACTGCGCGACGCAGGCGCTGGAGAAGTACAACATCGAGAAGGACCTGGCCGCGTACATCAAGAAGGAGTTTGACAAGAAGTACAACCCCACCTGGCACTGCATCGTCGGCCGCAACTTTGGCTCGTACGTCACACACGAGACGAAGCACTTCATCTACTTCTACTTGGGCCAGGTTGCTATCCTCCTCTTCAAGAGCGGCTGAGCGGGTCGCCGCCACCCCCGCTACCCCTTCCCTCTCCCCGCCCGCCCTCGCCCGCCCCTCCCTCGCCCTCCCTCGCCCGCCCACGCCCTCCCTCACCGCCGGCCCGCCCGCCTGCAGGTCCGAGTCGTGATCCACCACCGCGCGTGCACGCCGCCGCTGGAGAGGAGGGAGTGAGAGAGTGCTATCGCGACTGCATGTGCCATGTTCACAGACGGAGAGCTCGGCAACAGCGGGTGCGCGGAGGCGGGGTGGCGCACAACTCCGTGATATGTCGACGGTCCCCACCAGCCCACTGTGAGCGTGTTTTGTACAACATTATCTATTTTGTGAACGTCAAAGCTGAACCAGGCCGGTCGGACGCGCAAGGCGATAGCGCGCGAGGGCAAGTCGCAAACTCGAGCGCGCCGGACGCCCGGACACCCCGGACGGCGCGGCGAGGCCCCGCGCGCGCGCCCGGGCGCCCGGGCCGCGGGCGGGGAGGCGGACACAAATAGAGGAAGTAGAGCCCCGCGCCCCGCGCCCCCGAGCGCCGAGGAGGGAGACGTGCCACCGCGGAGCGACTACACGTCCCGACACCCGCCGCGACGGACAGGTTCCGCCGGCCGACCGACGCACCCGACCCTGCACCCTCCCCTCGTCTGCCGGTACTTTACGGCTCTAGTGCATGGCAGGCCGCTCAGCCGCTGCTCCACCGCTTCGAGTCTCTGGCTCTCGAGAAGGTGTCGACCGTGGTGACACTCTGGCCGCCCTTGCTCGCTTTAGGAAGAAAATCCAATGGAACCGTAAGTAATTGAAGGAGGAGGAGCACTTGGGGAGCACTTGGAGTGCAATTAGCAACCTCACCCAGGGCCGGGGAGCTAAGAAGCGCACCCAGCGGAGTTGTTATCAAAGTCGCGATGCAACCGAAGATTGCAGGTCCAATAGAGGCATAAAAGGTGACACTGATACACCGTCGCAGGAGTATGAACGGGATGTAGCAACATCGCTGCTTAGCAGCATTAGCTTTCTTATCTTGCACAGTTTTGTTGTAAAATTCTTATCTTGGGGGGGGGGGGGGAGGGGGGAGGGGGGGAGGGAGGCGGAGGATGCAGAGGCGGAGGCGGCGGCGGCGGAAGAGGAGGAGGGGGAGAGTGAGGGGGAGGCGGAGGCGGGGGCACCTGTGACGGCCCGCTACGAGAAGGGCGACTACCGGTTCGCGCGGGAGAAGAATTGCGACCTGCGTTTGCTCGACTTCGAGACGTTCGGCGGCTTCGGGGACGGCGTCCGCAAAATTCTTCGGCAGGCGGCGGACCAGCTGAGTAACAAACTTTCGCACGCTCAGCACCTCGATGAGGTCACATGGACCACCAAGAACTACACAGGGATTTTTTAAGGAGAGGAGTGTGATGCGCTAGCCGTCGCCCACCCTGGGGAGTCTGCCTCTTCGTATCTCTTTTCGCAGTCTCTCGCCGCTTCTCGCTGCAACCTTCATGCCACCTCGCGGCCGTCCCACTCTCGTCGTTCTCTCCCTTGTCGCTTCCTCCCCGTCGCGTCGTTCTCTTCTGCCTCGTCCTGCGGCGCCGCCGCCTGCCGGTCCCTTGTTCTCGCGGCTTCTTTCGCCTTTCGGCGTAACTCCGTCCTCCTCGCGGCGTATCCTGGCCCCTCAAGTCTATCGAGCTCCCCTCGCGGGCCTTCAGAATGCATGCATGTCAGCCGAAGAATTTTCTTTTGCAAAATGTTCGACAAAATGGCGTCCGATCGGCAGACTATAGTCGAGCGCGTCGGAGAGGTGTTTCGGCGGCCACAGGTTTCCGGGCGCCTCGTGTTGATCCCAGCCGCCAAGAAAACCAGCTCGACTGGCTATAAGAACGTGTTCTACAACCGCAGCAAAAAGAAGTTCGAGGCGAAGGTGCGGGATGGCGGCAAGCGTGTCCGCCTCGGCTACTTCGAAACCGCCGAAGAGGCGGCCACTGCCTACGCTCGCTCAGAGTACGGCCGCGCCGACGCCGCCAAGCTGCTGCAGCCTCGCCCGGCTCCCACTGCCGCTGGCGCCGAGGCGATACGGCAGGCGGCGAGGGAGGGCCTCACCCTGTCCACGAGCAGCAATAGCACCGGCTACAAGGGCGTTAGTTACTGCCCGAAGGAGCGAGGCAGCAAGAAGTACAAGCTGGAGGTGAAGACTCGCGGCAAGACTGCCTTCCTCGGCTGCTTCGCCACCGCCGAGCAGGCCGCGCTCTTCTACGCCCGCTGGGAGGCGGGCAGGGACACCAGCGATCTCATCGCGCCGCCACCGCCACCGCCGCCGCCGCCGCCACCTGCGCCTTCCTCTGCCGCTGGCGCCGAGGCAGCCCGGCAGGCAAAGCGGGAGGGCCTCACGCTGGCTACGAGCAGCAGCAGCAGCAGCGGCTACAGGAACGTGATCTTCAAGCCGAAGGAGCGAGGCAAGAAGTACGAGCTGAGGGTGGGGTTTGGAGGCAAGCAGAACTTTCTCGGCCTCTTCGCCACCGCCGAGGAGGCGGCGCTGGCGCGTGCGCGGCACCTCCGGGACACCACCGCCCGCCTGCTCGAGCCGCCGCCGCAGCAAGCACCGCCGCAAGGCGCAGCAGGGCCTTCCGAGGCCAGCAGCTACGAGGAGGAGGACGCGCCGTTCGAGGTGGGAGGCCGCTGCGCCATCCGGTGCTCTGGTGCCTCTCTCGGAGCTGCTGCTGTGAACAGCGCCTCTTCACACTCCCTCGTCGGCGAGCAGGTACTCCGGCGGCGCCTTGTACCCGGGCGAGGTCGTGGGCTTTGACGGCACGTCGAGCCTATACTCGGTGCAGTGCGACGACGGCGAGCTGCTGGAGGACGTCTCGCTGCACGAGATGCTGCGAGAGGAGGCGGCGGAGGGGGAGGGGGAGGGGGAGGGGGAGGGGGAGGAGGAGGAGGAGGAGGAGGAGGAGGAGGAGGAGGAGGAGGGGGAGGGGGAGGGGGAGGGGGAGGGCTTTGACCCGGCGGACATTGCCGCTGCCGTCTCTCTCGCTGCTCTCCGACCCGCCGCCTTCCGCGAGCGAGCAGAGGGCGGCGAGGCTGCAGGCGCGCGCAGCGGAGCAGGCGGCGAGGGGGTGAACCGAGGTATGTGAGGTATCGCCCCACGGGGTAAGGTAAGGTAAGGTAAATTTCCCTCCACACACTCAAAGGGGGCTGGGGGGGGGGGGCAAGGGTACTCGAGCGCGCCGGACACCCCGGAGCGCGGAGGCGGACCCACACCGATCGGCCTCTAGCCCCCCCCCCCGCGCCCCGAGCGGGGGGGGGGGGGGGGAAGAGGGAACTACACGTCCCGAACACCCGCCGACGGACAGGCTCCGCCGGCCGACCGACGCACCCGACCCTCCCCTCGTCTACGTAGTACATGGCTAGCCGCATCAGCCGCTGCTCCACCGCTTCGAGTCTCTGGCTCTCGAGAAGGTGTCGACCGTGGTGACACTCTGGCCGCCCTTGCTCGTGGTGGTGAGTGTTACCGTCATGGTCGCGCCTGCGGCGCGGCAGAGGCGTGGCGCACAGGAGGTAGCGGCGGGGCAGATGCGCGGCGCTTGACTCGCCGCACCGTCTTCGGAGACGGCGTTTGTCATCGTCTCAACAAGCTGCCTGTCGGGAAAGGTCTTGTGGAACACCTGCGCGGGGGTGCACCAACGATGAAAGCGGCGGTATCGAGGTGAATATGAGCCGGCGCCGGCGCACCAGAGAGCAGGTGTCGGCGTCCCACCGCGCCAGGAGAAGTACGCGGTCTCCATTCTCGCTGCCCTCAACGGGCTCTGTCGCCGCTGGGTCGAGCGTCTGCTTCACCTGCGACCGCACGCGTGTGGGTTCGGCTCTGCGAGCGGCCGAGCGGGACCGGGCCTGGTGTGGAGAGGACCTTGATCATCTTGAGCAGCGTGTACGTATGTGTGACGACGCCCTCGGCGATCTCTACATCCTTTACGGCCGACCTATATGATGAGCGCCATCGATCTGTTCCTACTAGTCGCTGCTGCCGAACGGCATTCGAGTGAATCGCACAGCCCCGCCGCAACCCTACGACAGAGAGTCAACCTGTGAGATTGTTGTCCGCAGTCACGGCAGCCAGCCTGGCATGTGGCTGGATTGCACGCACTTGCGATTTGCCCAAGAGACACCCTTCAGCTTCATCCACGCGTCGTACTGGCCGTCGTGCGTCACCAGAATCCACTTGCCGACCAGCTGCTTCTGCCACTCCTCCATTCAGTCTCGGTCGGCGTTAGGTTCTTGAGTGGATATCCTCTGTGGCCGCACTGCCCGGGGCGAGGTCTATCGCTATCGATCGCGGGGCGCCACGCTTTTTTCTTTCTTTCTATGATTTTTTGTTTTTTTTCTCAAACAAAAAAAGTCTGCACGCCACCGCCAACCCCACCATCTCCCTCCTCAGCCTCCTCCCGGCCGCCGCCCTCTCGGCGCCGGCCTCCTTCCTTGCCGCTGGAGAGCCGCCGGTGGTGGTAGACTTGCGCCCGCGCGAGGCCTTTGAGCAGTGCCATCTGAGCGGCAGCAGCTCTCTCCCGCTCACGTCACTTCGCGCGCGCCTCTTCGAGCTCCCGCCGCCCGGCGAGTGGCCGCTGACCCTCGTTGGCAGCGCGGCGGAGCTCGAGACTGCCCGCGCGCTCCTGCTGCCGAAGGGATGGGAATTTGAGGAGCGACATGCAGACGACTCGGCATTCTGGGAGGGCGCGGCGAGCGAGAGCGGGCCGGACTCGGCGCCGCTGCTTCGCCCGAACGCCTTCTTGGCGTCCGCGCTGCGCCAAGTCGACCTTCCCGAGGCGGGAGCGGCGATAGACGTGGGCTGCGGCAGCGGCCGCGACGCCGTCTTCCTGGCGCAGACGCTGGGAGACACGTGGGAGACGATTGGCGTCGACAACCACAAGGGCGCGCTGGAGCGGGCGCAGCGGCTTGCGGATGGGTGTGGCGTGTCGGCCGCCTTTGCGCTGGCGAACGTGCGCAAGCAGAGCCTCTCCGATCTGACCGAGCGGCCCATCTCTATTGTGCACGGCTGCCGCTTCCTCGACCGGCCGCTGCTGCGCGCGCTGCCCGAGGTCGTCGCTCCGGGCGGGCTGGTCGTCTGGTCGACGTTTCTCGACGGCGATGGGCCGCCGCAGGCGCCGCCTTTTCGACCCAGCCGCCGGCTGCAGCGAGGCGAGATGGAGCACCTCTTTGGGGAGTCGCGCGGCTTCGAGGTGCTGCGCGCGGAGGAGGGCACGCTTCTCACGCGGGGCGTGTGGGAGAGCGCACAGTTTCTCCTCGCGCGAAGGACTAGATGACCCCCGCCTCCTCGTGGGCGAAAGAGGCTGGCACGACGAGTAATTTTTCTTCCGGTCGCGGTCGCCGCCGACGCCGGTCCCGCTCAATCTACAAGCAATAATACATACGCCAGACATACGCGTTTTTGCACCGTTTTTGTTACACTCGATCGCACAGAGCTCAGAGGGGCGCGTGCGAGCATTGTGAGTCGTTGTGAGTTTCGGGGGTGTCCGACGTGTAACACGCGCGAATCACCGAGAATGCGGCGCACGCGGCGCGCGCGCCCTCCGGCGCGCTTCAGAAATCGCGACAAATCGTAAGAGCTAAGACGAGCGTGAAGTCTGAAGTCCAGAAGTGTGAAGAGATAGACGCGCCCCGGGATCTGGCGCGGGAGCCACCGTGTCGCGAGAGTAATGCAAGCCGCGAACTCTCGCGCTCAAACACAGTACGCAAGGTACGCAAGGGTTGTTCCACGAGTATATGGGACAAAAGCGTCGAAAATCTTACCTTATATTTCCCCGCGGCCGGTTTTCCGTTTCGGGCGACGGCACACTCACCGAGCTCTCCGGCGGGGAATCATGTCGGCGAAGGCGGGCTCTGGCGTCTCGGTGATGCGCTCCGATCCCGACGCGTCGACCTCGACGGAGGTGGACGCGCACGAGGCGCAGTGGCGGGCCGGCGTCAACCGCCAAGCGCGTCCAGACGCCGCTTCGCAAAGACGGGCGGCGTCATTGGCTGCTGCAGCCAAGCGGCGGCGGATAAGGACATGAACAACATACCTGCGCAAGCCGTCGCCCGGGCGGCCGCAGGCGGTGCCATCTCAACCCACTCTCGGCACCGCTGCACGTGCGTGCTCCCTCTCCCACCCAACTCGGCTCCACTCTCGTCCACCCGCGCCCACCCCATCATCTGCTCTCAGGCTGATTGCGGCGTGTGTTGCGCAATGCCGAGCCACCAGACGCTGGCCAGAGCATGATTGTGATGCCTCTGTCTGGGCCGGGGGGGCGTTCGACAGCGCGCGAGGCTGCCTCCCTGCCCTTTGCGACGCTTGCGACCACTGCTGAGTTGCATGCAGTACAGAGTAGCAGTGGTGGGGAGGGTTTGCGCCCCCCCCCCCCCCCCCGGGCAGAATGGTAAACTCGTGTCTACTCACCTCGTCGGCTCCATCGGCTGCCTCTCCTCGTGCGCCGGCTGCCTCTCCATCCAACCGCTTCTGCGTCCCCTTCTCTGCCCGGTGCTCGCGTGTCGCGATGTCGCTCTGCCGAGAGGGTCATCGCCGGCGTAGGCGGAGCGGCGGGCCCTTCGTTACAGAGACAACAAAGACATTTCACCCCTCGGGCTGTTGTTGCAGACAGAAAAACAAATTTGGCGCGCGTGCGCGCAAGGTATGCTAGTCCCAAAAAAGCGTGCGAGTTTGTTGCAGCTCCGCAGCCTGCGCGCGCTGCCGGGACGCACCGCTTGCTGGATCTGTGCACTCCCTGGGACCCAGGGAGTGCACAGATCCAACAGGAGTGAGTAGACTCGACGCCGTACTCGAGATGGAGCTGCAGAAAGTACGCCGCCGAGCGTGCCACCGACGGCGTCCCGGCGGAGGTGATGGAGTGTGAGACCTGAGGCTGCGGAGGTGACGCCTGAGGTACCGGTCCGTGCACAGCGACCCAGCCGGCGACCGCCACGGGCTCAGACGAGACTTGTCGACTCGTTCCAGCTCAGCTTCACCGTGGTCCTCGGGCGTCTGTCGACGTCAGGACCACCCATACAGCTCGCGGGTTTGAGGTCGCAAGAGCCAAGATGGTGGGGTTTGGACATCCCAACCATCACACAAGACAGCCTGTAGGTGATGGCGGGACGGCGCAGTGTTTGTGGCACTCGGCAGTAGGCACCCGCGGCACGGCCCCGCTGTCGGCTCTCGCGGGCTGTGGAACCGGACCCAGAAAGGGACGGTCCGGGCGAGTGTGGCAGCTCCTGCGCTAGTATGGGCACCCTCTATTATAGCACTACTGATCCTGGTCATTAGAGCTGCCAGGGATAGCGTCAGGAGCTGGTAGGAGTCAAAACCCCTCATATTTTTGAGACATCGTGTCCCATATACTCGTGCAACAACCCGCAAGGGCGTTGAGCACGAACGCTCGCTCCCAGGCTTCAGATGGGCGGCAGCTTCCGCTCGGGGGGTGCTCTGCGGCGCAACTCCATCACGGAGACCCTCGCCGGCCGCAGGTCGCCCGGCATCGGGGGTGTCGTCTCCTCAGACAGCACCTCGTGGCACCAGCCCAAGTCCTCGAGCGTGGCGAGGCACTCGGCCGTGCTCCACCGGTGCTCGCATGAGATCAGCACGACCGTCGTCGGCCCCGCCAGCGCGTCGAGCGCCGCGGCAAACGCGCCCGCGGTGCCGAGCGAGTAGAGGCACTCGGCGCCGAGGATGAGGTCGAAGTGGGTGGCCGACGAGTGTGCGGGCAGCAGTGCCGCAGCGTCGCCGACCGCCCACTCGTACAACTTTGCGCCGCATCGGTCGCCGAGCCCTCGCTCGCGTATCGAGGCGGCGAGGTCGTCGACCAGACTCGCGTGCTTGTCTGAGAGCGTGACATACGTGTTTGGCCCGGCGAGGGCGGCCGCCTGCAGCCCGGCCACGCCCGTGCCCGCGCCCAGCTCGCACACCTGCCGCAAGGAGGGGTCGGGTATGATGACGCGTGGCGCGACGCTCCCCGCGTCTCGCACGCCCCGAGGCTCGCCTGCGTCTCTGCGCCACCGCTGAGGCGCTGCGCCCACCCGCCGCGTGTGGCAATGTGGGCGGCCAGCACGCGGGCGCCGTTCCAGGCGATGCCGCCCAGCAGGTGCGCAGTGGCCGGTGGCGTGTGGAGGGCCGCAGAAGCCGGTGGCGCGTGGGCATCGCCGCCGGTCGGCTCCTCCTCCTCTGGCGCAGCGGCGAGCGTGGCGAGCGTGCGCACCACCGGCGGCTCCTCGCGCCTTCTCCACACGGTCAGGTCGTCCGAGTTGTACGACCACTACGACCACGTGTGCAGCCGCACCGCGCGGAGGAGCTCGAAGCGCTCGGAGAGCAGCGCCTGGAAGGCGCGGCTCGCAGAGGCGCCGCAGTCGGGCGGCGACCCCTCCTGCACCGCCACGCGCTCCTCCCTCTCGCCCACGTACACGACGGTGCGCCCGCCCGCGCGCAGGTACGATGCGACGCACTCCGCGTCCCACACGGGCGGCGGCGGCGCGCGCGAGGCGCCGCCCGCGCGGCACAAGTGCGGGTTGTCGGCCGAATCGGCGTTGTTTGGCCAGACGAGCAGCAGCGCGCGGCGCCTCGCGACGTCGCCGCCCTGCTCGAAGACGGAGCGGCCGTCGCCGCGCAGGACGTTGCAGTACACCTGACAATTGCGGTTTTGATCGCGAATCTTTTCAATTTGTTCGGGTGTCAGGTTAGCACGATAACTGCGTTGCCTCCGAGAAGAAGGGGTTGTTGAAGCGCTCGCTCGGGGGCTGCGAGTCGTAGGCGACGACGTCGACGCCGCGGTGCTGCAGCAGCGCCGTCCAGTAGCCCGACCCCGCGCCCATCTCCACGATTGGGCCGCATTCCGCGATCGCGGCCAGCGCGCTCTCGGACGGCACGGCGAAGCTCGCGACGTGGCACAGCGGCACGATGACGAGCTTGGACAGCGTCTTCATCGCGACGGGCAGCTGCCCTCGCTGCCGGTGCGGCTGAAGCGCCGCGCGCCGCCCCTTCCCAGCGACGAGAGCAGCGCCATGTCCTCGGCGGATGCGCCGTCGCAGCTGGTGTAGAGCCTCCACACCGCCTCCGGCACGATGGCGCGCAGCCGCAGGTAGACCGCCTCGAGCCAGTTCGTCTCGAGAAGGCCCGGACGCTCTGCCGCCGGCTCGGCGCTCTCGTCGCGGATGTGCCACGGAGCCTGCACGCGCAGGTGCGAAAAGAGCGCGCGAAGCACGCGCCGGTTCTGGCGCGCCTTGCGGCCCATGCCGCTGGCGGCGAGCTCCGTGCGCGCTCCGCCGGAGGCAGTCCGCGGCGGCAGGCCGTCGCGGAGCGACTCGGCCGCGAGCGACTCGCAGAGTGCCGCCGACGCGTCCGCGTCGAAGAGGTTGTAGGCGGGTAGGAGCACGTCAAGCACGAGACGGCGGAGCGACGCGGCGGCGCGCTCGTCCGCAGCGGACATCAAGAGATGTGGTGTGTCGGGTCGTTGGTTCTCGTACTCACGCGCCGGCACCGGGCTCTAGCACAGAGACCTCAACGCGCCGCAGTCCCGGGCCGGGGTTCGGACTTTTTGCGGGGTATGGTATGGTAGGGTCGGCGCCCTGGCGCCGCGACCATACCCCCCCACCCGCACAGGACGTCGCCTCTGGCCAGCAGGACCATACCCCCCCACCCCCCACCCCACCACACGAGCGCACAGTAACCGTCGTGTTAGGCCGTCCGGTCGTGCGGCACGAGGTTGCAGCGAGAATCGGCGAGAGACTGCGAAAAGAGATAGGAAGAGGCAGACTCCCTAGGGTGGGCGACGGCTAGCGCATCACACTCCTCTCCTTAAAATCCCTGTGTGGTGGCGGCGTGCCGTCCTCCCATCCCTCCCTTGGGTTGTCTGTTTTCTTTCTTTCTTTCTTTCCTTTGCTGTCCCATCTCCTCCTCTTTCCCGCCTGGGCGGGGCAGTGGTGGGCGCGCGGTGCGGCGTGGCGTGTGCGTGTGTGCGACCGCAACGAAGGACCCTCGCTCTCGCGTTTGGACTATAAACAAAAAAAAAAGACTGCAATCAGCGTAATCTCTCGTCCCCCCAGAAATCCGCCTCCAATCGTCAAGGCAACCATGCACTTTCCTCGTCCGCTCGCGCGCTGCCGCGTCGCATTGCGCCCGAACTTGGCCGCCGCAAGCTGCACGCCTAGACCCCCGCGACGCCTATTGCTCACGGAACCCGCCGCCCCCTCACCACCCCTACCATGCGATGCGCTCTCGCTCGCGGCGCGAGCGGCTGTACCCCCCTCGGCCTCGCACCGCCTGCCTACTCCCGCTCGCAGGTACAGCCGCTGCCATGGAGGAGGCCGCGAGACGCGTCCGCTGCTGCCCATTCCACACCCTCGTCCCGCCTTAACCCGTCCGACCGCCCTCCCTCTCTTACGCGGGTACTCGCACCGCCTGCTCGCATCTCTGCGTCTAGAGAGTGCCACTCTGTGTCCGCAGCCGCGAGGGCCACTCGAGCGCTGGCCTGCACCTCCCATCGGGGACACCACCCTCAACCGCTTCTTGACTCTCTGCAGGAATTCATTCGATCAACATGCTCAAACTTGAGTACGTGCCGGCCGCCGGTGACAAGCTCGTGCTCAAGCTTTCTCCTCCGCCGCCGCTTGCTGACAAGCAGGTGTGCGTTAATTTGCAGTGGCTGAGGGAGGGGGTATGCACATGTGCACCGCTGCAACGCACGCAACGCTGCGCCTTCCCTGCAAGACGACCCTCTCGCGTTCTGTGGCTGACAGGCGTCTCTGGCGGACAACACGACCGTCATCGACTCTGGCGGAGGCAACGCCGTCGGCATCCCCTCCGAGCCCGTCTCGCTCAAGGATGGCATCGACACCGGCACCGGCGGCACCGGCACCGCCAGCACCGGCACCGGCAACGTCCCGTCCGAGGGCGAGCCCGGCCCGCTCAAGGACGGCATAGACGAGGGCGAGTTGTCGCCGATGACGTCCTCCGCGAAGGTCGGAATCGTGCCGGCTGACGACGGCCGCATCACGCTCGTCATCTCCGCGTCGGTGTCGCCTTCGCTCCTCGGAGCCAAGGTGCGCGTGCGCACGCTAGGATCGTGATCATTCCCTCTACCGTCTCCGAAAGCCTGCGCGTACTCTCCCTCGCCCACAGGCGTGCGGCGTCAAGAACGTCAACATCTCCGTGGCAAAGCCTGGCCCGGAGGACGTCCTCAAGAAGGACCCGGCCGCGGAAAAGGCGCCCGACGCGGGCGCGGTCGATTCGGACAAGGCCAAGGCCAAGTTCGCCGCCCACGCGCCGAGCCCGCCCGCCGTTTTCTGGTCCAAGTTTCCGCGCCCGACCGGCCCACCGACGGCCCCCACCGGTGCCGTCGAGGGCGCCCTCAAGAAGGACATCCCTTCGGCAGAGTCTGGCGCGGAGGCCTCCGTTGACGAGACCGGCGCCATCAAGAACGACCCGGCGCTCAAGCCGGTCACCAAGGTCGCCACGGCCCTCAAGCCGGCGGCGACCGGCGGCGTTGCGGCGGCGGCGGAGGCGGCGGAAGCGGCGGCGGAGGCGGCGGCGGAGGAGACGACGGCGGCAGCGGCGGAGGCGGCGGTGGAGCGCCTCGACGATCTGGCGAGGACACAGAGAGTCCGCTGCACTCTATGCCACGAGCTGCCTCGCACCGGGGCCGCGGGGTCGAGTGCGGCGTCTGGCAACAACGGAAAGACATAGCCGGGATACGCAATCCTCCTGCAGCCTCGACAACAACGTTCAGTAGCAGGGCGGTGGCACGGCGGTGGCAGGGAATCGACTTTCGTTTCGCGTGTTTCTTCTTTCAGGCGGTGGCGCGGCGGTGGCAGGCGGTGGCATGGCGAGTGTGAGCTCGATGTCGCTCTCGTCGCTCTCCTCCTCCTCCGCCCTCTCCCGCTCCCTCTCCACCGCCCCCTCACCGCCCGCGACGCCCGACAAGGCGAGATTCGCCGAGATTCGCCGAGATTCGCCGCCCGCGCCTCCACCGCCGCGAGATCGCAATCTCGCCTCCTCGGTCTGGCGGCCAGCAGCTGCCACTGGATGGCCGTCACACCCCGGGCAGCCGCCCGGCTACCAAACCCCCCTGAAACCTCGAATCCAGGCGCCGCTCCGGTGGTGCGAGGCTGAGCTTGGCAGCGACTTTGAAGAGTTCCGCCGCCTCTCGGCCGAGCTCCCTAGAAGCGGAATACGCATTCTTGTACTCCAACCAGCGATCGAGAGGACACGGAATCCGCTGCACTCGACCGTATTCGGCTGTACTCACTGTCTCCGCACCCCTCGTCTTCACGCGGTGCTCTGAGTACACCGCACAACGCCGTACTCCGCTCTCATGCTGGTGTATTCAGCACGCAGGCGGAGCTCCGATGCGGTGGCGGCGGGGAGGAAGCCGGCGGCGGCGGAGGCGAGGGCGGCGGCGGAGGCGAGGGCGGCGAGGGCGAGGGCGGCGGAGGCGAGGGCGGCGAGGGCGAGGGCGGCGAGGGCGAGGGCGAGGGCGAGGGCGAGGGTGAGGGCGGCGCTGAGGGCGGCGGCGGCGGCGACGGCGAGGACGGCGGCGAGGGCGGCGGCGAGGGCGGCGGCGAGGGCGGCGGCGGCGGCGGAGGCGCGGGCGGGTCTCGGCTCTCCACGGCAACGGATGGCGCCTTTTCCTTTATGCGGGGCTACGACGCCTCCGCCTCACCCGGCGCCTCGCCCCGCGCCTTTTCCTTTATGCGGGACTACGACGCTTCACCCGATGACTCTCGGGCGAGCTCGGCCCAGTCTCTGAGGGGACCACCCGGGCCGCTGCGATCCGAAGCGCACCTCAGCTGTTGTCCCTCCGGCGCAACGCTCGGCGGCGGGGCAGCAGCAGACGGCGCGGCGGCGGCGGCGGCGGCAGACGGCGCGGCGGCGGCGGCGGCACGGGCGGCGGCGGCAAAGGCCGCGGCGGCCAATGCAGCGGCTGCGAAGGCGGCGGCGGCAAAGGCGGCGGCGGCAAAGGCGACGGCGGCAAAGGCGACGGCGGCAAAGGCGGCGGCGGCAAAGGCGGCGGCGGCAAAGGCGGCGGCGGCAAAGGCGGCGGCGGCAAAGGCGGCGGCGGTGCCGTCGGCGGCTCAATCGGTGGCGGCAAGGCGGACGTGCAGAGGCACGTGGTATGAGAGAAGCCTTAACGCTGCCTCCCTCCTTAGCGTCGTTCCCCACCTTTGGCTCGCCGCCACCGCAGACATCTGGGCGGCGCCGGCGAGGCTTGCAGCAGCAGCGCGACGCGACGTCTCGGGTGCCAACCCCGCCGCCAACGCCTTTGCCGCCGCCGCCGCCGCCAAGCGTGGCGCCAGAGGGGCGACGGTTGAGGCTGTGGAAGGTTGTGGACGAGTTGATGCTGCTCGGCCGGCGGCCGCGGTGCGTCAGGCGTGCCCTCAACGTGCTCGCCAGTGCGACCATAGTACCTCCCCATCTCTCCCCGTCTCTCCCCAGATCTCGTCCACCTAGAAGCGGAACACGCACTCGTGTCTCCAGACCAGCGCTCGCCAGGGCACGTACTTCGACCGTAGTAGCCGTTGGCGCGCTCATCATGCAAGTCCTGCCGCCCCTTCTCACCGCGTTGAGACCTTGCCCCCTCCACCCTCCTTTCGCCCCCGCCCCCGCCGCCCTCGCCGCCGCCCTCCCGCCCCGCCGCCACCCTCCCCTTTGCCGCCCTCCGGACTGCCGCCGTTCTCGCCCTCGCCTCCAGCCGCCCCGCTGCCCTCGCCACTGCCCCCGTCGCCGCCACCCCTGTCGCCGCCGCCCTCGCCGCCGCCGCCCTCGCTGTGTCGTCTGTCTCTGGGCCGAGTCGCGCCATGGTGCGAGGGCCATCGGTCGAGGCTAGCCAGTGCGCTTCAGCACCGTCGCTTCCCGGCCGACCTCGGCGCACTCTCGGTGAAATGCCGCCGCAACCTCGGCTCAAATCTCGGCTGTAGGTCGAGGTGCACCGGGCGGCGCTCGGCGCAGCCGCCTCGCCGATGCCTTGGGCTGTGGCCGCGGCCGAGGAGAGCAGCACCCCCCCACCCCCCCCCCGCCGCCGCCGCGCGGAGACGCACCCCGCACGGCAGACGCACCCCCCGCGGGAGACGCACCCCCGCCCCCTCTCCTCGGCGCCTCGCAGCGGCCGTGCAAGTGGCCACCCCGCACGCCAAGACACGCCGCGCCGCAGACGCACCGCCGAGATTCGCCGAGATTCGCCGAGACTCGCCGAGATTCGCCGAGATTCGCCGAGGCGCGCCTGCCGCTGACGCACCGCTGCGGGAGGCTGGACGTGTCCTGGACGCGGCCCGTAGGAGCGGCGCGCGCAGGCGCGGCGCGCGGTGCTCGGCAGCGCTGCGGCGCCTGCCAACACGCCTCTCGCCTCTGGCGCCGCACGGCAGCTTAGATGCCAGAGAGGCTGAGTACGGGGCAGCAATCTGAGGCCAGTGCTAGCCACGCCATTGCGATGCCACCGCGACGCCACCGCGTTTTGAAGCCTCTCCCTCCCGGACCCCGCGCCTCGACGACGCGACCGCGACCCACACGTACGGCCCGTGCATACGGCACCGCTTTGGGCGGATGTGGCGGTCTCGAGCGCTCCAGAATCGCAGCGACTCTGGGCGCCATTCTGCTGCAGTGGGCCCGGGGAGCTCCTTCGAGACGCCGCCATCCCACTCCCCGCCGTCCCATTCCCCGCCATCCCCGTCCTCGCCATCCCACTGGGTGCGAAAATCTCCCCATATCTCCCCATATCTCCCCATGTCTCGTGCTAGGTGCGGGAGGCGATGCGGCGCGACCGACAACAGGCGCTCTCTCCCCATCCCTCCCCATCTCTCCCCATCTCTCCCCATCTCTCCCCATCTCTCCCCATCTCTCCCCATCTCTCCCCATCTCTCCCCATCTCTCCCCATCTCTCCCCGACCAACAACAGGCGCTCTCTCGCTCGCTCGCCGCCGAGACAAAAGAGACGGCGCCACGCCAGAGGGAGAACGCCTTAACAGGCCCTCGTGCGCGCCGCCGCCGGCAAACCGACTGAGGTCCTGATCTTTGCCCCACCGCCGCCACCGCCGCCACCGCCGCCACTGCCGCCTCCACTTCCGCCGCCGCCGCCACCGCCGCCGCCGCCGCCGTCTCGCCTTGAGACGGCGGCGGCGGCGCTCGCCGTTGGTGGTGCAGGTTTGCCCCCGGAGGAGGGAGACTGTATCCCGTAGATAGGTAGGCTGCGAGGCGAGGCAGAGCCAGACCAGCGAGTGGGACACACCGGCGCGTGTGGGGTGGGGAGATGATGGTCCCACCGGAGCGACACACAGACCACACCTCACAAGACGCCCCGCCAGCAGGGCCGCCTCCACCCTGCCCCCAGGTAGGTGGGAAGGAAGGTAGAGAGGCGGAGAACAGTCTGACCAACCACTGGACACCAGGCGGGGAGTTGTGGGGAGATGTGGGGAGGTGCGGGGAGATGTGGGGAGATGTGGGGAGGTGTGGGGAGATGTGGGGAGAGGTGGGGAGAGGTGGGGAGAGGTGGGGAGAGGTGGGGAGAGGTGGGGAGATGTGGGGAGATGTGGGGAGATGTGGGGAGGTGTGGGGAGGTGTGGGGAGATGTGGGGAGATGTGGGGAGGTGTGGGGAGGTGTAAGGAGATGCGGGGAGATGCGGGGAGATATGACGGAGATATGACGGAGATATGACCACGGTACGGGTGGGGGTGCAAGCGAGGCGGAGAGACGGCCACACGGGAGCGGCACACACAGACGACACGAGGTGGGGCATTCCTCCCGTGGACTCCAACGAGTGCTCGAGAGGATGCGCTCTCCGCCGCACTCCGCCGCACTCCGCCGCACTCCGCCGCACTCGGTCGTGTTTAGCTGTCCGTGCCCGCTCCAACGAAGGGCGTAGGCCCTGACTCCGACGGTGCACCTCCGACGCCCTGATTCCGTTGTCTTTGATGACGCAGGATCGCCCCATCCGCCCCGATCGACTGCGGCAACGGATTCGGGGCCCTGCTCGGGTCGGGCGGCAACGAGAGCATCGTCGGTGGCAACGACGGCAAGGTGCCCTCCAAGGCGACCCGCGGATCCACGCCGTCGGCCACAAAATCGGTGCTCGCCGCCTGTGCGGCTTCCGCCATTTGCTCACCGCTCACAGCCAGTCTCTCGCCCCTATTCAGGGCGCGACGGTCAAGCCCAAGACGGTCAACCCCAAGGCCCCCAAGAAGGGCAACCCCAAGACGGTCAACCCCAAGACGACCACGACCGCCACGCCGGAGGGCTCCGTCACCGCCTCCGGCTGGCTCTCGTGGCCCAAGCTCTGCTGGCACAACGCGCTCTGCGCCGTCTTCATCTGCCTCGCGGCGAGCGCGTGCGGCGGCGCGTTCGCCTACTTCTCGCACGGCTCTGACAGCCTTCTCCCGTCGATCGTCGTGCCCGACGCGACGGCGCTCCCGACCGAGAAGGCGCGCGGGCCGCTGTTTGCTCCGTTCAACCCGGAGCTTATGGAGCTCGACGCGTTCGATTCACTCAACGTCGAGCAGTGTTTGGTGGAGCATCGGTGGTGTGCGGAGTGCACGCCAGATGGAAAATGCGATGCGCCTAAGGTGGAGTGCTGTGATGGCCTCACCTGCCAATGGGGAGGGCCGGACGACAAGTGGTCGGCGCATTGCAAGAGTGGTTCAGGCCCGGCGCCCTCTCCCTCGCCGTTGCCGTCGCCCTCTCCCAGCCCCTCGCCGTCGCCGTCGGCCTCTCCCTCGCCGTCGCCGTCCGCAACCAAGATCGACATCGTGGGCTATTGGGGCAACGCCTACGGGGGTGCGAAGGAGCCGCCCAAGTTCTCTTCCCTTCCGGATGCATACAACGTCGTCGTCCTGTCCTTCATGACCATCAAAATCTCAGGAGCCAGAATCGACTACCGGAGGCCTACTACTTGGGGGCAATCCGATGCAGCGGTGATGGCAGACTTGGCAACTTGGAAAAGTAAGCCTGATAAGTACGGCCGGAAGAAGTATGCAATGGTCTCTCTCGGTGGAGCACTGAACCAGTATCGAGCGACCAGCATCGAGTGTCCCCCTGCTGAAGTTAAGGGCCACGTCGTGAAATTGCTCGAGGATTGGAAGTTGGATGGTCTCGATATCGATCTTGAGAACGCTGATCGGACTAAATGGGCTAACACCCCCACGATGAGAGACCTTGTGACATCACTGACTGGAGCAACTCCCCCGAAGCTTGTGACGCTCGCACCCGAGGCGGCGACCGTGTCCATGAACGACTACGCCTCCCTCATTCCTTTGGCGAGTTGGACCCAAGTGCAGTTCTATAACAACAAGCCCGATTGGCTCGGTCCCCCCTGGAATCCAGGCGTGGCCGGGTCCAATTGGCAGGTGGACTATCAGGATCAGGCTGGTTGGCTTGCGGTCCTGACCACTACCCAGACAAACAAGGAACTGTCCTCTGAGCATTTTGGCATGCTGATGCCGGCAGGACCCGGCACGATGTGCGCGGGTCACCCTTATGGGGGAGGCCCTCTCATACCTGGAGTCAGTCCTCCGAGCGGTGTGTGGGACGTGAGTAAGCTCATGGAGACGCTCAGCGCCGGGAAGGTGGCGCACGCCGGGGTATGGGACGTTGCTTGCGATGCAAGCAACAGCTATGCGTTTGCCACAGCCATGGACTCAGTCCTTGCGCGTTGAGGGCAGCCCGCTAGTACCTCTGCTGCCTGACATGTGATAAGACGATAGCGAACGACCCTGGGCCGAAGACGATAGCGAAAGGCAATCGGTGCAAGTCCGGCATACGCGCAGGGAAAACGAGTGCGCGGCCCCGGGCTACTGGAAAAGGTAAGACGATACGAGAGCACTTCACAGGCCTAAGTCCACGGCGCCAGAACTCAGTGGCAAAAACACCCACTGGCGACCCACCGTGGCAGCGAGGATTCCCGGACTACTGGGCAAGGTAAGCGGTAATGCAGCGCAATACGAGCTCCACGTGGCGGTGCGACGGAAAACGTTTGGACTCTCTCTAACCCGCGACTCTAGCCCTTCACAGGCATAAGTCCACGGCGCCAGAACTCAGTGGCAAAAACACCCACTGGCGACCACCGGGGCAGCGGCGGCGTGTTTCTTGGGGACCGTATCTTTGCGAGCTGTGTGTGCGCCTAACGTTAAAGGCACCAGCCTCGCCGCTACCGTGATTGTAGAGCCGTAAAGGGGGGGCGGGGGGGGGGGGGGGGCGTAAAATGTTGTTTACCGCAACTCGAGAGGGCCGTCGGGCCGGCTCTTCACGGGACTCGGGAGGCGAGGGGCAGGGAGCCCGGGGCCCGGGCCATCGTGCCGACGGCGACCTGGCCTCGAGCAGGCGCGCCGCACGCGCACGCCCTCTGTGCCAGCGCCTCGCCATCCCGCCTCCCTCCGGCCTCTCGCACCCCCGCCGACTCCTTCCCCGCCTCCACCGTCGTCGCTGCCTCCCAGCCCGCCACACCTCCGTCGCCCCCACCACCGCCATCGCCACCACCGCCAAGCCCGCCGCCGCCAAGCCCGCCTCCCCCGTCGCCGCCCCCACCGAGCCCGCCTCCCCCGTCGCCGCCCGCTCCCTCACCCCCTCCGCCGTCCTCCCAAGAGCCACGGGCACTTCCACATGCATGTTCTGTTCCATGCCCCATCGAGAGGGACACTTTCCTCTCTATCCATGTGAGTGACTCGACTAGACGTCGAGGGGGGGGCGTCTGAACACACGTGTCCCTCCATTCACACTCTCCCAGGCCTTCCTGGTCTAGTGCCCGTGTTCTCCGCCCGTCGTGCGGATCCACGGAATCCATCGCATCTTCGTCTTCTAAGACGTTCTACCTAGAGCAAGCGGGGCGACGCGCCCCACGCCTGCCCGCCGGTCGGGTGGGGCTTGGAGGAGGACCGGGGGTCCCCACCTGCACGAGCAGGATTTTGGAAGGACGATCAGGGGCACAGGGGGTTCTCCTGCTCTGACACAGCGACCGGACTCGGGCAGCTCGCGGAACCAAACCTTGCGGGCGAAAGGGGAGGGGGGGGAGGTCCTGGGCCCGCTCTAGCCAGCCGTAGAGGAGGGGGCGGCAGCGCTTGTTGGCCAGAGCCCCGTCCACCGCCTCGTACCAGCGCTGCAGGTCGCGCATGCTTGCAGGCGAGAGGCGGAGGACGGTGGTCTCAGAATTGAAAGCCTCGTCGCCGATCGTGGCCGTGTCTAGCACGGTGACGCGGGTCAGGGAGGAGCAGAGGGCGAAGGCGAGGCTGCCGATGAAGGTGAGGCCGGCAGGGAGGGTGACGCGGGCGATGGAGGAGCAGCGGCAGAAGGCGGCTTTGCCGATGGAGGTGAGGCCGGCGGGGAAGGTGACGGAGCCGAGTGCGGAGCAGCCGAAGAAGGCTTGCTCGCTGATGGAGGTAAGGCCGGCAGGGAGGGTGACGGTGGTGAGGGCGGAGCAGCCGAGGAAGGCGTAGTCACCGATGGAGGTGAGGCCGGCGGGGAAGGCGATGCGGGTCAGGGAGGAGCAGCCGAAGAAGGCGCCTCTGCAGATGGAGGTGAGGCCAGCGGGGAGGTTGACGGAGGCGAGAGAGGAGCAGAGGTCCAAGGCGCTGGGGCCGATGGAGGTGAGGCCAGCGGGCAAGGTGACGGTGGTGAGGGTGCTTGCCGATGGAGGTGAGGGTGGCGGGGAGGGTGACGCGGGCGAGGGAGGAGCAGCGGTAGAAGGTGGGGAAGAGGTTCCTCCTTTCCGCTCCCCCCCCCGCAAGGCGCGAGACACATTCGACACTGGGTTCGGGATGCCAGAGCCGTCGGGGGTCTGCGCGCGCGAGGGGCGGTTTGGCCCATAATATCTATGTGTCAACCCCGACGGGCAGCCTCGAGGACGACACGGCAGCCGCGCTTCTCCCGCCGTCCCGCGCCCTACGGTCGCTCGTGGCCGCGAGGCCGCGCCATGCCTGACTGACCCTCCCCAAGCTGCTTGCTACGAGCCCGGAGCCTGACGCTGAGCGCGTCGCCGTTGGCACCGGGGCGGTGGCGGAGGCACACGCGAGAGAGTGTCATCTAGGAGGGTGCGCAGCGAACCAGTTTTATCAATGTATGTGGCTCTTACTTACGCACATTCCCGTAGGAGGATGAGAAGCGACCCATTGGTGCTCGGAGGTTTATTTATATTATAGTCCTGTGTACGAGCCTCCTACCACCTTTTTCAGTGTATGGTAGCTGTTACGTTTTCATGGTTGGTGGACGGGCGGGGCGCCCTAAACCGGGTCAACCTGGTACTCGCGTACGAGTCTAAGGAAGGTGTTCATTTAAATAATTAGGAGGTGTTTTGCTCATCTTCGCGCGTCGCTTTCCCTTGCTCCTCCTCGCGGCGTATCCTGGCCCCTCGAGTCTATCGAGCTCCCCTCGCGCAAGGACCACATTTCTGACTCCCACTCCGATCCCAATAAATAAATAAATAGAGCAGTCATCTCCAGGGAGAGATGGGCGACGCACACGAACACAGAGGGACAGTGCGCACCCCGCCCCGCTCGCAGGGCGTGCATCACACAGGTGGACTGTGTGACTCCTCGGGTTTCTGGGACTCAGAGGTGTGCTAGTCGCTATTCTCCGACAATTCCGACATACATGTATCTGACGGGCAGAGTTTTGAGAGAGATATTTTTATTAACCAACAAGAAATCACTCTCACAGTTTGGGCATTTTTGTGTGAGCCGAGTAAAATTCTTTTTGCGCCTGTGCGGCATGGACTACAGGCGGTGCGAGCCAAGCAGCGACGGCCGGGCAGGGGTGGGCGGCGCTTCCTCGGGCGCGGCAGCGACAGCTGTGGACGCGCCGCTGCTCGGCCAGCGCGTCGTGCTCGGCGGGCTCTCTTCCCGCCCCGAGCTGAACGGGCAACGGGGCGTGGCGCGGAGCTTCGAGGGCGGGCGGTACGCTGTGGCGCTCGAGGGCGGCGGCGAGAGCGTGCGGGTGCGGCCGGGTAATCTGTCACCGGCGGTGTCGAGCAGTGCCGCGGCAGCCTCCGAATCGGTCAGCGCAGCAGCGGAGCGTGGCGAGGAGGAGGCGGTGCTGGCGTGGCTCGACAGTGGCGGGCGGGCCGACGCGGTTTGCGAGAGACGAGGCGTGAGCGGCCTCACGCTGCTGATGGGCGCCGCCCACCACGGCCACGAGCGGGTGGTCGAGCTGCTGCTGCGGCGCAGCGCTGAGGTCAACCTGCAGGGCAGCGTCGGCGGCACCGCGCTGATGTACGCCGCCGGCAGCGGCCACGAGCGGGTGGTCGAGCTGCTGCTGCAGCGCGGCGCGGAGGTCAACACGCAGGACAACGACGGCGACACCGCGCTGATGGGCGCCGCCGTCTTCGACCACCCCGCCGTCGTGCGGCGCTTGCTGCGGGCGGGCGCAGACACGGCGGCGCGCGGTACGAGCGGCAAGACGGCGCCGCAGCTGGCCAAGGAGAAGGGGCACGCCGAGTGCGTCGAGGCCTTTAGGCAGCACGTCAAGGAGGCGGTCGTTGCGGGACGGCCCACTGCGGCGGCAGTGGGCGGCAGAGGCGCAGGCGGCGCTTCCTCCGGCGGCGTTTCCTCGGCTGGATCGAGAGACGCGAAGACGCTATCTCCAGCGGTGGCGGGGCGGGCGTCGAGCGGTGTCGTGGCAGTCTCCGATGCGGTCGTGGCAGCGGTGGAGCGTGGCGAGGAGGAGGCGGTGCTGGCGTGGCTCGACAGTGGCGGGCGGGTCGACGCGACGTACGAGAGAGACAAGGAGAGCGGCCTCACGCTGCTGATGGGCGCCGCCACCAACGGCCACGAGCGGGTGGTCGAGCTGCTGCTGCGGCGCGGGGCGAAGGTCAACCTGCAGGACAGCGACGGCGAAACCGCGCTGATGTGGGCCGCCAGCCAAGGCCACGAGCGGGTGGTCGAGCTGCTGCTGCAGCACGGCGCGAAGTTCGACCTACAGAACAGCGTCGGCAGCACCGCGCTGACGTACGCCGCCAGCCAAGGCCACGAGCGGGTGGTCGAGCTGCTGCTGCAGCACGGCGCGAAGTTCGACCTGCAGGACAGCAACGGTTTGACCGCCCTGATGATCGCCGCCCTCTTCAACCACCCCGCCGTCGTGCGGCGCTTGCTGCGGGCGGGCTCTGACACGGCGGCGCGTGCGAACGGCAAGACGGCGCTGCAGCTGGCCAAGGAGAAGGGCCACGCCGCATGCGTGCGCGCCCTCGAGGAGCATGCGGCGGCGGAGGCGGCGGCTGAGAAGGCGGCGAAGGAGGCGGCGTGGGTTGCGGGGGCGGAGGCGAGGGAGGCGGAGAGAGCGGCGGCAGAGGCGACTGCGGCGCGGCATGCCGAGGCGCTGCTGGCGGAGGAGGAGGCGGAGAAGGAGGAGCGCGCCAAGGAGAGCAAGAAGGGCAAGAAGAAGAAGAAGAAGAGTGGCGGCGGCGAGGCAGACAACGCGGCGCCTGGCCCCAGCGCCACCGCCGCATCGCCGCCGCTAGCCGCGCCGCCAGCCCCATCTCCTCCGCCCGCCAACGCAGCCGCCATCGCTGCGGCGGACGAGGCGCTGCAGCAGGCCGTGGCCGCTGGCTCGTACGTGGGCGTGGCCAGCGCGCTGGAGGCGTGCAGCGGCCTCGCGAGCCCGGCCGTGCTGGCGGCGGCGAGGCGCGTGCGCGACAAGCTCAAGGAGGCGCGGAGGAAGGACAGCCAGCGGCTGCGCAAGGCGCATGGCGCGGCGATGGGCGCGCTCAAGTCGCTCGACACCGCAGACAGTTCCTCCGCGCTCCGAGCGGGCATCGCCGCCGCCAGGCCGCACGTGGGCGCGCTGCCTGCCTTGGCCGAGGAGGTGAGCGCGGCGGAGTTGAAGCTGGAAACTCTGTCTGTCGCCGAGCCGGCCGCGGCGGAAGAGGCGGCTGCCGCTCGGCCCATCGAGCTAGCCCTGTCGGACCTCACCGCGGCTACCGACGGGTTTGCGGATGGCAAGCTGATTGGCAGCGGCGGCTTCAGCCGCGTCTACGAGGCGTCGGCCGACCTCCACCTCCACCTCGCCGCGCCTCCACAGCTGCGCCACTTGCCGCTCGTCGTCAAGCGGGCAAAGTCGGGCCAGTCGGGCGGCTTGTCACGGGCGGAGCTCGAGGTGAAGCTTCTCAAGGCGGTGAGCCACCCGCACCTGCTGCCGCTGCTCGGCTACTGCCTCTCGCCCGACGGCGTCTGCCTCCTCTCGCCGCTGATGCGCGGCGGCTCGCTCGAGGCGCGGCTGCGCATCTCAGATCCCGACCGCGCTGCGCAGCTTCGGCGGCTGGGCATGGAAGAGCCGCCGAGGCCGCTGATGTGGCGGCAGCGCGTTCGCATTGCTTGCGAGGCGACCGAGGCGCTCGTCTACCTCCACTCGAAGGGCATCGTGCACCGCGACGTCAAGCCGGACAACATCTTGCTCGACGAGGAGCTGACCGCAGTGCTCGCCGACACGGGCTTCGCCAAGGACCAGCGTCCCGACGCCTCTGTCCGCCTCCGCTCGACTGCTCTCTACATGTCCACTGGCTACCTCTGCCCCTCCATCTCCAAGGGGGGCGAGTACTCGAGCAAGACAGACGGCTACGCCATCGGCATCACCCTCCTCGTCTGCCTCACCAACCGCTCCGAGGTGCAGCTCACCGACCGGTGCGAGGAGGAGTTTGACGGACTCTGGACCAACATCGACGCGTCCCAGATCGCAGATGCGGCGGCGGGGTGGCCTGAGATCGCGGCGCGCGCTGTCAAGGACCTCGCCAAGGCGGGAGACGGGCAGAAGAGCCTCTGCCACGACAGCTTGCGCAACCGCTGCACGCTACCCGAGGCTCTCATGACGCTCCGGGGACTGCTGTCTGGCGCAGAGGGCGGGGCGGGGGTGGAGGAGGCTGCGCCGGCACCTGGAGACGAGGCCGCTGCGGCAGCCGCCCGCACCACCTGGTACGAGCCTTCGCCGCTCTCAGTGCAGGTGCGCGGCATGCGCACGGGCGGCGACGCGCAGGCGCGCATCCAGGGCAACATGCTGCTCGCCTTCAACACGCTGATGCCGCGCCTCGACGCCGTCTACGCCTCGCGCTCTGCGGCGGCGCCCGACGGCTTCGATGAGCGCATCAACTTTTGGCACCGCGAGTGCGGCTTGCCGACCGAGCTGCGGAGCCAGCTGCACTCGCTGCGCATCTGGGCGAACGCGGCGAGGCACCACGACGCGGCGAGGTGGAGGAGGGACGGGCCGCGCAGCGAGGGGGAGGCGTCGCGGCTCGTGGCCGCGGTGACGGAGGCGATCGGGGAACTCGAGGGGTAATACTTGAGGGGTAATACTTGTGTACGAAGTACGAGACCGAGGTAGAGGCTAGAGCTAGGTACCCATACGAGTCCAAGGTGGGTTCATAAAAAAATAATAAAAGGTTTGCTTCATCTTCGCGCGACGCTTCCCTTGCGGCTGGCGCTCGCAAAGTGGTCCCGATGCTGCTCACGGAGACTAGAAGCTGCAAGCGGCCGAGGCCCGACTTCGTTCGGCAGGGATCTCGGCCTCACGCGCTCAGCCGCGTGCCCAGCTGCCCGTTTGTGACTGCAAAGCCCGAGGCGGAGCGCAGCTCCGACTGCGCCGCCTGGTTCGCGGCGCACGACGGCGACGGCGACGGCCGGCTCACGCCGGACGAGTTCC